TATAGGAAGTTTCTGATGTCTTTAATTGCATGAGATCCTCTGAAAAAAATGACATAATTGCACTTATTTAGCAGACATGAACTTGCAGATGATCCACTGTGTGACAATAAAAGAAAAACAATTACACAATCCTTTATATACATTTCTTTTGCAGCTCTGTAAAAGTAAGCTATATATTCAGATTAATATTTAAAAAATTCAAAACATTAACTGCGGTTAATAGAAAGTGGATGTGTTTTTAACTGTATATGGTGCCTGCTTAAAGTAAACCAGGCCTAGGCCTGCTTGGGGCAAAGTACTAGGTTGACTTTACAGCAGGGAGGGTAAGGGGCCTATATTTACCTTCAACTTGCTCCACAGCTGCCCTGTTAGTCTGCCAGAGAAAAACCCGGCACTTCCAGGTCCAGGGCTTATGTGATTCTCTCCTCCGTCACACAACAGTGCCTGCATGGCAAATTGCATGGCCTAGGCATTGTTGCATGGAGGGTCTCTTTAGTCCTACATATACTACAGTGCTAGTTTGCAACTTACAAAGCAAATTGGGGGGGGGCAGAAGCAGATGAATATTGTACCACAGCAACCCATGAAAAGTAAGCAAGTGGTCCTTATCAACCCTGTATTATACCCTGAAATGTATATTTCCAGTCTACTTTAAAGAGATCCTCTCGCCAACCTACACAATTGCAGGTAAAAGCATAGGAAAATCAAAGTATTCTAAATGCTTACTTGCAGTGTTTTTTCTATTTCCATAAATTTTATTTACTTGCAATGTGTGCTTGAACTTGTAGAAAATTTGACTACTCAAGTAAAAGTCAATTCACTTGCACAGCTACTTCCCTCCCTGAACATCATAGCCATTTCCTCTTCTGGGAGACATTAAATACTCTCTGTGCTGGACCTGATCCTCCACCCTTCCCTTCACCCTCCCTACATAACCTTTTATGAAGCTATGAGGAGACAAGGAGGGGGTTACCAGAGAGTGTCATTTGAGTGACAGCTCTATGTCTGTCGAAGCTGATGACATCGCATCCAAGATGGCAGTGTCCAGCAGCAGTCTAAGGCTCTGGGGTCAGGTTTAGTTGGTTTCTAACAGCTTAGAAACACCTGCTGTGCATTTATATTACAGGGCTGGAAGACTGCCAAGATCTGATCGCCATAAAAAAATAGCTGAGATTTCAGAGTCTGTTGTGAGATTTGAAGGCATATGATGTCTCCAAGACGTAGTTCACCATTTGCAAAAGCTTAATAAGTACACCCACAATAATGCAATAAAATATGTGCATTTTTTAAAAACTTTTGCATAGAAGCCTGAAGAGCATTACAACCATGATCAGTGTGCTATGGGTATAAATCATAGGCTCCTGCATTGTTTATGTCCTAGGCCCTAGTCAATATGGAGGTATGGACCTTTTCTTATGGGGCTAGAATAAATAAATACTTGACTACACTCGCAGTAACAATTGCAGCATATGTAACTTGTGCCAGTGTGATCTCTGAGCCTCCGTGCCTTTTGCAGATGGGACTTGTAGTTTTTCCATTTACAATGGATCTGTGAATGGATTACATGGCTGTACAGGTGGAGGGCGGGGGGTTGGTTGGGGGGCAGAGATTGGGGAATGTGACCATTCTTTATGCTACACTCTAAATATGGGTGCAAAATGAACCATGATCCCAAAGGTGGACTAAACCTTTAATATTCTTTTATTGCTTGTTCAGAATATGTAAATGTTGTAGCGATCATAGGCACAGGTTCACTTAAACAGTTTTTTTTTTCACTGTAAATAATAGTGACGGGCCCAAGCACAAAAACTGAACAATGCCCATTTATTAACTAACGAAAAAAAAATCTTTTAAAACCTAATATTAAAATGAGCTTTTTTTTTAGTGAGAAAAAAGTATGTGAAATTTTCAAAATGTTATTATTATTTTATCTTTATAAACTTTATAGAGTTGGTCATTTATTGGTATTTATTAATCCATGTGGCTGCAGGACCCCAGATTATTAGTTGTTTTTTTTCTTCTAGATGTGGCCCCATCATTTGATTTGTTATCTCAAGTATTTATGGATAATGACATACAGTACTCGGCTGCCCCAGTGAGGTCAAGATGATTTCATACTCAGCTGTGTATGCCTACTGTAACCCTGGTATATTCTGAGCCCACACTTCTATTTCAATACATCCATTCATAAAATCAGCTGTCCTCATGGAACTCCAATGAAGCTCATAAATAAAAAAGTTCTTGATGAGGCAAGCACATATGCCTTGTTTAATAGAACAGTAGTAAACACAGTTATTATGATCAGAAATGATACAGTGACATTTCTAGCAACTTTGGTTATGAGATCTTTATCACATTAAAAATAATTACAATAGTTAGTTCCATTGTGTATCAAGACACACTGTCATTTAATATCTTAACAACAAGGACATTTTATTGTGGTAATATAATACCCTGTGACGTTTGCTCTTCCATAGTACCACACTCTTTGTTCAGGAACTGGCAAGCAGAACCAAGTTTACGCCATGTCCTCTCTTTAAGTACTTGCGAGAGAATTACAATGAATAACTATTGTCAAAGCTTAAAGCTGAACTCCGGGAATGAGACAAACTCTACCCTTGCAGTTGGCCTCTCCCTACACACTGCAAGGGTTAAATGCTCATCTAGCTTAGGGGTGCATGGTGTATTACTTACCCTATCACTGGCTCTGGCAGGCTGCAGGGTCATTAGCAGGTTTTGGGCATTGAGCAATCCTCTCCGTCATCACGTGCAGTTCAGGGCTATTCATTTGAATTTGTACATCAGGAGGGGAGCATGTAACCGTAGCCAGAAGCTGCTTAGAGGGGAAGCTGCGGCTGATCATTTGTATAGGTTGAGGAAGCCTATCATATCCAGGAGTAAGATAAGTAATACACTTGATATGTGCAGTTTGTTCTGTTCCTAATCTAAATTCGGATGAAATTTTCGTTACTCAGAGATTCAGATGTATCCAAATATCTGGAATACAATAGTAAGGGGTTTAAATGAATCCGAAATAACAAAATTAAATTTAGTCTAAAATAAACAAATAATCCGAATTCGAAACAAATTCAAAAACAAAATTTTAAATGTAAACATATTGCTGACTATTGCTGGTTTCCTTCAAAGTCTGTGTGCACTAGTGATAGAATACAGTCATCTTCTGAAATTTTCATTTCGAAAAGCATAGAATCGAATAAAATAGAATAGAAAATAAAAGAATAGAATAGAAAATAAAAGAATAGAATAGAAAATAAAAGAAAATAATTGAATAGAAAGGAATAGAATTGAATAGAAAGAATATAAAAGAAAACAATAGAACAGAATTTAAAAAATAGAACAGAATAAAAAGAAAAATACAGCCATTTTACAAAAGTTGATTTTTGAAATTCAAATTTCGAATAGAATAAAATAGAAAGAATATAGCGGTCCTCCAAAATTTGAATTTCAAAAAGAATAGAATAAAACAGAATAGAAAAAACAGAAAGTAATAGAATATGAAAGTAGAATAATATAATATAAAATAAAATAATAGAACAGAATGGAATTAAATATAGAATAGAAAATAAAAAATAGATATGAATAGAAAAGAAAAGAAGAGACTCAAATAGATAAAAAAAAATAGATTAGAATAGAATATAGCCATCTTCCGAAATTTGAAAAGAATAGAATAGAAAATAAAGGAATTAAAAATAAAAGAATGGAATAGAAAAGAATAGAATAGAAAAAAAAAAGAATAGAATAAAATAAAAATATAGCCATCTTCTGTAATTTGAATCTCAAATAGACTAGAACCAGCTTGTCATCACAATGAATTTGGGTCAATTTGAAAAATGATAATCCAGTCGAAAATTAATAAACAAAATGAATTTCTTTACATTTGTAATGAAACCAAATTAGTAACTCAATGAAACAAATTTATTCTTTCTGCACGTGTCTAGAATATACCTTATCCATGCACCCCAAGAATAAACAAATAATTCACCCTATCAGTGCGGGGTGGGTGTGGGGATTCACTCCAAAGGTAGATTTTGCCTCATTACTGGAGTCCAGCTGTAAATTACAATGCTAAAACATTACAGAGTCTTGTTCAAATATTACATAAGCCCTGTACCTGTGAGAAGCAACATTGTTTACCAGAAGGTATCACCAAGACAAACTGTACTCTTAGGATAAAGGCTACGTATTTCAACGTGGGCTATAGGTGCTCTTGGGTCAAGGGCGGGGGTAAAACATAACACAAATTCATAGTGAGAGAAAACAGAAACCAATGTAAAGTATTCAGAGCACAGTAATTGGACACCATTCCTAATCTGTAAAATAATATATACATATATATATATATTTATGTTCATGTAATAATGCCCTGTTTAGGATTGGAATAAATACTGTCTGGACAAGTGGATTTAATGTCCATTTGTAACATATAAAAAGGTAGACTTGACAGCTGTATACTGTATATGTACAGACATGCAGCGACTTGTTTGCATTTATACATTTCAGAAGTCAGACAACAATCCTACATAGTTGAGGAGCTTGTTATACAGTATGTTTGGGTTAAGCATAGCTAAATGTTAGAGCAGAGGTAAAATCTTAGGTTTGTTCACATTTATAACTTTTTTTTAAAGTTTCCCACCTAGCACATCATACAGCTAAAGGAAAAGCTCTGGCACCTCCTGACTTTTGTGGCACATGCCCACTGACCTGAAGGACCCTAGAATAGTGTTTCTTGGTCCATTTACTAAACAGTTCATGTACTAATTTGTTCAATCATAAAGCAAGAAGAGAAGTCATACATTCTTACAACAGAGGCACAACATGGAAGACGTTTCACAGTTTTGTCTTGTTACATAGTAAAGACCCACAAATGAAATTTAAGGCATGTTGTGGACAAGTATTGCTCTATGATGAGACTCATGATGAATTTCTGAGAATTTAACATGAATTGCACTGATCACAATAAATAAAAAGTGTCCTTTATTTCATTTCAGTTTTGTAACCCTTCTGATCCAGGGGGTGAACCTGCTTACCTTTGTGTACACTCCAGGATAGCCCTTTCGTCCGCACCCATAACCCCAGGATGTTATCCCTACAATAACCCAATGTCCATTTGAGTTTTGGCACATGAGTGGGCCTCCACTGTCCCCCTGGCAGCTGTCTACTCGATTCTCTTCAGATAGATCTCCAGCACAAACCATACGATTTGTAAATTTTCCCTTGTAGCGCAAAACACAGGACTCCTTGGGAAGTATTGGAATAGCACCTTGAAGAAGTGTCTTGGAGTAGGATGTTCCTGTGGTAATAAAATGACAAATCTGGTTAGGCTGACAAGATATAAAAGAATCAAGTAATTTAGGCAACATTTGTAAAATGCAAAATGAAATGTGAATGTGAAACTTATACGTTGTCTAGAGTTAAAGGTTGAGACAGTCCTGGGCTCTTTGATTGGAAACTTTTGATTTGAAAAATTTGATTGGAAATTTTGGGTCTACTCCTGCTGTATTCTTCAAAAAATAAAATAGAGGCTATAGTAAGTATTCAGAGATCTTACCAACTGTGTCCTTAGGGTATCATAAACCAAATCAAATGGTATCAAATGGATTGTCTCACTTGCATGTACCAAAAACTGCAAAAAAATGTTTTGGGTAGCATGACCCTTTCATAAAGTTTTTTTTTTTGTGCAAAATATCCTGTATATCTTATGTGCTGTATCTGAAAAATAAAATTTTTAACAAGGACTGTAGGCTATTTCTCTATGCACCATTTCAAACAGCACCAGAAATCAGCAGCTCTTGTAGGTGCTGATGGGGTTTAGCTTTGGAACGGCCAGCTGTCAAGTGACAGCTAGTATCCAGGCTTGGGCTTCCGATCCTGCTACAGACCATGCCAAAAAAGTACTCTGTAATAATGGTTGTGAGCACAATGCAAAACATTGCTTCTGCATTGTGGTAAAAGAGCCACTGATGTGATGTCACAGCATTTCCTGTGTATCCAGACAATACAGTACAGTGATACTTAGATTCACGAATGCTTCTTTTCACAAACAACTCGGTTCGCAAACAGAAGAGTTCACAAAAATTTGCTTTTGTTCGCAAACTCCGCTTTGGTTGACGAACACGAGCTGCGGCCATCTTCCCTGCTCTGACAGGTGGTCCTCACTTCCTGTAGGCGAGATGGCGGTCACAGACAGACACTGAAAGTGTGTACTGTGAAGACACTTACAGTACTGAGAAGCTTTTTGGTGTGCTTTTTAGCACATACTGTACAGGACATCCAGTATGGCTTAAAAAAGAAAATTCAGAGCAAGCATGGTCGCAAGAAGAAAGTGAAGAGCGGTAATGAAGGTGACAAGAATGTGCAGAGCAAGCATGTTGTTGAAAAGAAAGTGCAGAGTGGTAATGAAGGTGACCAGAACGTGCAGAGCGGTAATGAAGGTGACCAGAACGTGCAGAGTGGTAATGAAGGTGACCAGAACATGCAGAGCTGTAATGGTGACCAGAATATGCAGAGTGGTAATGAAGGTGACCAGAACGTGCAGAGCGGTAATGAAGGTGACCAGAACGTGCAGAGTGGTAATGAAGGTGACCAGAACATGCAGAGCTGTAATGGTGACCAGAATATGCAGAGAGGTAATCAAGGTGACCAGAACGTGCAGAGCGGTAATGAAGGTGACCAGAATGTGCAGAGTGGTAATGAAGGTATGACCAGAATGTGCAGAGCGGTAATGAAGGTGACCAGAACGTGCAGAGTGGTAATGAAGGTGACCAGAACATGCAGAGCTGTAATGGTGACCAGAATATGCAGAGAGGTAATCAAGGTGACCAGAACGTGCAGAGCGGTAATGAAGGTGACCAGAATGTGCAGAGTGGTAATGAAGGTGACCAGAATGTGCAAAGCAAGCATGTTGTTAAAAAGAGAGTGCAGAGTGGTAATGAAGGTGACCAGAACGTGCAGAGCGGTAATGAAGGTGACCAGAACGTGCAGAGCAGTAATGAAGGTGACCAGAATATGCAGAGAGGTAATCAAGGTGTCCAGAATGTGCAGAGCAGTAATGAAGGTGACCAGAATGTGCAGAGCAATAATGAAGGTGACCAGAATATGCAGAGAGGTAATGAAGGTGACCAGAATGTGCAGAGAGGTAATCAAGGTGATAAGAATGTGCAGAGCAAGCATGTTGTTAAAAAGAGAGTGCAGAGTGGTAATGAAGGTGACCAGAAGCACCACCCCAACATAACTGTAATGAACAGTGTTGAATCTGATGAATATTAATGTGGTCTCTCATTTCCAGAGGGTTATGCAGTGCAGGAAAAGACAAGTGCCGATTTTTCACCAAAACTGAGCCTGCAGCTAAGAGACAAAGAAGAAAGGAAACCCCTGAAGGAGATCTCCCCAATGTCCTTATGGAGGGGGACTCTCCCTCCGAACAATAACTGCCTCCCATTAGCCTTCCTGTTTCATGCAAGAAGTCGTCTCAAGCAAGGTTAGTGTTCTCTCTCTTCATACTGTACTGTAATTTGTTTGATATTTTTGTGGTTCAAAAAAAACCAAAAAAAGTTCAGAACGCATTAACCTTATTTACATTGAACCTTATTGGAAAATTTGATTTGGTTGGCGACCACATTTGTAGGGGTCAGAATGGATTAACCTGATTTAAATCGAACCCTATGGGAAAATTTGCTTCAGTTCGCGACCAATTCGGTTCGTGACCAGAGTCGTGGAATGAATTAAGTTAATTACTGTATAGATGAAGCAGGTTTGTCTTTTCTCCCCTTGAAACAATAGATTCACTGTTCTAGTGATCTATCGTGGTCTGATTGCAATCCTATTATAGTAAGTAGACAGGTGCCACAGGTAGCCTCAGCAAGAAGTAATGTTGTCACCCTCCTGATTATGCCGTGTGTTAGAGGTGAGTGAACCGCAAAAATGGCCTGAAAATATCATTTCAACTGTGCGTTGTTGATTGGAGTTCTGCTTTGACATTATGACACCTGTGATGATTTACCTGTGTCCCCCCATCCAGAGATAAAGCATGGCTTCTGGTAAGATGCCTTCTCCTTCCTCTCTGGCAGACAGATGGGCAGCACATGGTCACTGAAGGCAAGACACTGGTGTTCCTTCCCCTGAACTCTCACCAATGCAATATCATTGTCATTGCTGCCAGAATGATACTTCTTGTGTACGGCAATCCTCTGTACAGGAAGTTCTCTTTCAAAGTCATCCTCTACACCAGTATGGTAATCGCCTACTCTGAGAGAATATCGGTGTGGCTTCTCTCCAAACCTGAGGGATTCACAAAGAAATCATAAACCCATAACAGAATACACATATACCATCATTGAATATGCCTGATAAAGTTAGCATGGAGTCATTCTAGAAAGTGTTCTATGATCTTAATGCAGGAGTCCATCTTTAGTAAGGCCTGGTTTCCAATAGTATCACAGCTTCCTTGGGTGGAAGATATCATTGCTCCCAATCATATGTGTTCAAACCTGCAGGTAGCCTTTTAGTCAGTATATATTGCATATATCTTGTGGGCTATCAGAAGGTACCATTGTCATGAATGGGCAAAGTAACAGCGGGGGGAGAGATTTACCAAAACTGGTGCACTCAGAATCAGCTACAGCTGTACATGGTAGCCAATCAGCTTCTAACTTCAGCTTGTTCAATTAGGCTTTGGAAATAAAACCTGGACACTGATTGGTTTCTTTGCAGAGCTGCACCAGATTTTGCACTCTCCGGCCTTAGTAAATAACCCCCAGTGTTTCTTTAAAGTGGTTGTAAATCCAAAAAATATAAATTTAGATCATCACATTACCATAATCTGCACAGCAGGAAAATGCATACACCGCCAGTCTGCCTGGAAAAGTACCTGACACTCTTTTCCTCTCTGTCCCTCATTGAACAAAACCATCACAGGCCATAAAATGGTGTCGCCACGCTCCTTCTCCTTTGATTGACAGCCTACATAATACTTCTCATGCACTAGCGTAAGAAGTGTCCATGCCTCTTGTGCATTCATGCACAGATCTCTCTCTGGCTCCCCCTCTTCCTCCTGGTGCACCTGGATTGGCAGCTCTGTCCCTCAGCATTAGGGGATGATGTCAGGTGGTGCAGATCCAAGTGTCTAATTGGAAAAGGACTCGTCAGGGGACGTGTGCAGCACTCCCGCAGTGCGCACCACTATGCCGGGGATCAGCATGGGGATGAGGGTGTGTAGAGTGGGGAGGGGATTCTGGTGACATCACTACTATGCACCCACAGAAAGGAACAACTTCGGAGGGCTTCATCTCAAAAATGGAGTGACCAAGGGCGGAGCTGACAACTCATGGGGCCCCCGGGCAGTAGGGGATCATGGGGCCCCTGTGTCCTCACCCACACTCAAAAAAGCATATGAAAGGTACTAGGGGCATCTCATGGGGCCCCCTACTGACCCTGGGCCCTCGGGCAGTGCCCGAGTACCCGAACAGTCAGTCCGCCCCTGGGAGTGACAGACAAATTTTACAAAGAGGTGATCAGACACAGAGCACGCAAAGGTATTTATGGATGACAGTATTCAGCATTTGACCAACACTGGGTTTACAAGCACTTTAAATGTGTGTTTATGGAGCATATTTACAAATGTATCTGGCTTCAGCTGTTCACTGAATAAAATGGTTACATTTTAATTGATGTAAAATGAACTCCAGATAGACATAAAACACCAAAAGATGCCATTTATATATTCAATAAAATATCATTATATGCAACTAGTGTTAGTATCCAATGCCCAACTTAAGGAAATCTGTAAATGTTGCATCTGCACTACAAAGGTTAACTACTTGTTTAGTTCAAGGGAGAGCAAAAACACTTTTGCTTACTCGATCCTCTCCTCCCTTGATAGACAGCACTTCCCCATGCTCCCATGGTGGACTGTCCCTCAGTGTCCTCACTTCCAGTCCAGGGCTATAGACCCAGCATCTGTCTCAATAACATCTGGACCTTAGGCCAGTGGAGCATGGGGAGCCCCACTGCAAGGGAAATTTTCAAGATTCCTGAAGTTCAAATTTAAATTTGTCCTTATACCAGCGTCCTGTAATCCCCTGCAAAGAAGGCCTGATTTTAGGAAAGAATGTGCCAGGATAGAGCCAATCTGACAGTGCTACAGTGCACAATGCTGTCAGTCTAATATATTGAACTTGCCTATCAGCGTATTTCTACTCCTTCACTGCCAAATCAGCAAGCTGTGAGTGTTGTGTCTTGTGATCTAGATCATTCTAGATAGTATAGCCAGATCGTCCAAAAGATATAAATATGTATATACACATACACACATATACACACACATACTAAACATTTTTAATAAAGTACTTGTTCTACTGGGCATCATTACTATTGGTGACAGTCAACTGCACTGAGCTCTCTGCTCATCTTCCAACTTTTCATCCAATAAATTACTGAACTTCTAACTACAAAAACAACCTTTGGTTCATTAAAATACAAGGCTACCACAAGCCTAAATCAAACCCAGATTGGATAGCTAAAGGTTGTTGCATTGGCAAAAAAAAAAAGATATGTCCTTTGTTGCTGCTGTGAGCTATTCTGCTATACTATATATCATAAGATCCTGTACATTCTGCACTAGGGCCTCTTTGCTATACTACTTATGGAGAGGATGCTAATAAACATTAGTGCTTCGCTCCATAAACACTGGAAAGTAAAAGATACTAGCAAAATTAAACAACAAAAGAAAGGGATGGATAAATTCATATGTATTTCAGTATATTTACATATTTTTACATATTCAAGTGTATAAGACTTCCGACTTTTACGACGAGCACTCGGCAAGCTGATACACAGCTCTGAAACATAACATAAAATATGCATTATGCTTTTCCATTTGATCACTCAAATCCTTCTAAAACTGTGTTAATTTTTCAACTATGGGGAATGAAATTATCCGCAGACATAAACAAGGATGGACAGGTGTGTTTGGAGGCCAATTTTGAAAGTCTTCATAGAGAGGAAACCTCAAAGAACAAAGGGAACAAAACCAAAAATCTAATGGTGGTTTCCCAGCAGGCACTTGTGGTTTTCCTGTGGTTGAGGACTAGAGGGTATGTTAAGTAATTTAGGAAGTATTTCAGATAACTGGCAATCCTGCCGTTTAACATTCTAACATAGGTCACTCATAAAGTAACCATTTGGCAGGGTGCTTTGCCTTTGTATTAGACGTTAAAGTATGTGTTGTAAGTCTGCGGCTCTCCTTCCTTCTACTAACCTCTTAAAGCAGTGAGCAGCTGTTAAGGCCCAGCAACTGCTGATGAGTGTTGCTCCACATAGTAAACGAGTTTCTGTATGAAATCCCTTAAGCCTCAGAGAAGCTTGCCATGGCCAAATCCCCCTATAAGAAGAAATCACAACACAAATATTAAATAACTCTGCTGCCCTTTTTTAAGAATTCTAAGAATTTTTATATAGGAAGTTTTGTCTCCTTACCATAAAAACTTATGTTGCCTCCATATTACCTATTTAATAAAAACAATGTGCGAAGCAACCAATCATGAAGACTAGACAGAACTTTTAGCAATATGCAAATTTTGACTTTACTGTAAGTCAGAGGTCAACAGCTAAGCCCTCACCTCCACCTTTAACCACTTTCACTGGCCACTGTCATATACAAAGAGCAGTGATAAATGACTACCAGAGGAAGGACAGCCTGGCTTCACTGTGCAAGAGGCAAGATAGTGATACTCAATGGGGGAGTAGCAGTTTTTGTATACAAATTATGCACTAGCAAGTTAATTATAGGCTTATACTTGGCAGAGGCTTAAACATTGGCAAAGGAAACTGTTACTTTACATCTGTTGGTACACTTAGATTTTTTGCTTCTGAGCTGCTAGAATCCAGTCCATAAATGGAGAGAAGACATACTCAACACGTGTCAAGACAATAAAAAATAAGTATGCAATGACCAAAGCTAAATTTATAATTCTTTTGGGCAATAATAAAAGAATTCTTTATTTATAATCCTGTAATACAAAATATGTTGAGAAGTGTCATGTTTTTAATTAAAATTATACTCCATCGACACATCTTTATTTTGCCTGCATCTTACCGTCTTCCTCTCATTTTACCATGTTTGGTGCTAATCCAGAACTATTTTGTGTTCTGGGCAGAAGTGCTTTAACACTAACATGTACTGGTTTTATACACAGTCGCTTTGGCAGTAGACAGAGATTTTAAGAGGAGTGGGAGAACGCTATTTCCTCGCCCTGAAACAAATAATATAATCAGACATACCTGACTGACTTGGTTCCACCAACAATTCTTTTCTTTCGTCGAGTCACAAGACTAATACCACATAGGGCAAATTTTGCGTCTAAGTGATAAAAAGAAATTTGATGAAATTACTCCTCATCCCTTTCCTGTGTTTATCCTACCTAAAATTAAACATTTTTAGCATTCTTAGCCTTCAGGTCCCTTTCACACTGGCCAATTTGATTTGCTCACCAGGAGAGCAATCCACTGGTCCCCTGTTGATCAGAGCAGAGCAGAGCAGAGCAGAGCAGAGCAGGCAGGTTACAGGTCCATTACCACTCAGTTTATGCAGAGTGGACAAGGACCATGCCCACTCTGCTCCATGGGCGGCCGGGTGTAAATGGACCATCTGTCCATTTACACCCGACTACCTTCTATCCGATCCACCTATACAGAGGAGACCAAATCCCCTTGCATTTAATTTTAGTGGACTGAATCAGATCAGAGGTAGCTGGGTGTAAACAGACACAAGTCTGTTTACTCCCACTGGTCCATAGGGATACATGGACCGTCCAATCAGGTCTGCCTGAAAAACTGAATGGTCATGTGAAGGGGACCTATAACAGTCCAGTTTTGACTACCATACACAAGTGATCTCTGGTGTGATAATCATAATGTTTCATTCTTAAAAAGTTCCAACATTTAAAAAAAAATTGTCCTATATCAAAATATGTATGGACTTTATGTATAATAAGCTCACACAGCATGTTAATACAAAGTAAACTATCCCAAATCTGTCTATGTAGAACGTGTGCACATTTTTTTCAGATGATGTAACATTTTCTTGAGTTATGTTGCTAGGACGTCAATGACTAAAATGATACAGTATAAGCTGGTGCCATGATCACTGTTCCAGGTTTCCTGTTTCAAGGTGACTCCAATCTCTTGCAGTGTCCTATGGAGTCACTTTTGTATGTAGGTACTAGAGCTGTGTCTTCCTACACTGTTTTTTATCAATAAAAACACACCGCCTAGAAAGGCAAGGCACTCCCCTGCTCCCCCCCCCCCTCATCTTCTTCCTCCCTTCTCCAAGCACTGTCCATAGTTAACTCCTGTGAAGACCAACAGTTCAGGGAAGCAGCACTCAGGAAACAAAAGCCAGTAACATTGAAAGTTGTAAACTGCAAGTGCTTGGGTAAGAATTTTTTAACCATTCTACAGTTGAGAAAATATGGTACTTTCCAAAAGAGAAACAAATGCAAGAGTATACAGTTTTTACAGAATGATTGCACAAATATATTAAAAGGAAGACACATTTAGGTGTTAATAATTCCTAGGTTTGCTAGAAATTACATCATACATCTTAGTGTTTCTGTGTTCCGGACAAGGGTTTGCATGTGGCCTCTTGGTATTGTAATGTGTATGAAATTTTATGTTATTGAGCAGAACATAACAGACTGGGGTTAGTTAGAAGAAAAAAAGTCCCATATGAGCAAAAAGGAGGAAAAAAGAAAGGGGTGGGGGAAGGGTTAGCGAGGCAGAGAGGGGAGAGCTAATGAAGAGAAAAAAAAAGGCATGAGGTAGAATGCCCTGTCTTATCCTTGCCTAAGGGCCAGTCAGCTAATATGTGTTTCCTGTGGATATCTGGTCAAGTTCCAGTAATAATCTCAGATTGTGCTGTGACATGATATCGGTATTCCAGCGTGAAATGGAAGCCATTCCAATGGAACCAAGTGGAGCAAAATTTGTCTTCCCTGCAATTCAGGGAGGCAGCAAGATACTCCATATGGTTGATATAATTAGCTACCAAAAACCACAGGCCTATACGGGGGGGTTCAGTACTCTTCAGTGGTAGGCATGATCTCACTGCATGGGTGGGGGTGAATAAGTAGGGGTTTTTGTAGTGGAGTCATGTGAAGGAGGAGGGCCGTGGGATTGTCCCTGAGTTATATTCCCATTAACTGCGTGATTAGTCTTTGGATGTCTCCTCAAAATGGATGCAGAAGTGGGCATTCTCAGAAAAATATGTAATAGTGCTCCCCTAGAGCAGTTACATCTCCAGCAATAAGAGGAGACTAAGCAATACATTTTATTTAGAAGAGTGCAGATTCTACCACCTGGTCAGGATTTTATATCTAGTTTCCTGGACTCTGTTAGAGATTGATAATTTGTGAGTGAAGAATAAAATATGATCTCTTTCTTCCTGAGAAAATGTGTGACCCAGATTCCTTTCCATTTCAAAAGAAAAGGGGGTGTGAAATCTTCACCTGGACTAATAAGGCAGCCATACATTAAAGACAGAGTGTGTCCTTGAGAAATGGCATTACTGGCATTAATTTCTCTATTCGGAGGAGTACGCTGCTCTGCTGGTGTAGCTCACAGAACTGTCTTGCCCTGAGATCTGGCAATGCTAATCTGTGGGAGTTGGAGGGGGGATGGTTATGAATAGGCTTCCCCTCTTCTGTGCCTCTTCCCCCCCCCTTTTTTTTTCTTCTTCTTTTTTCCTGACTGCTGTTTATAGGAGGAAAAAAACAGTGCAGCCCGGGGTGCAGAGACTTATTCTACTCTGAAACACCAGAAATATTCAGAGGGGTGTCTTTTGTCTCTCTGGAGTTGGACCTGTGTGCCCATCTCCTTTGGGTGGATACTGGGTATTGAATGACACTGTTTATTGTGTATATTGTTGTTCATATGTATGAGTCTTTGGAGATGTATATTATATTGTTCATCTCTTTTGTCTCTGTACTGCTACCATGTGCTGTTAAAAATAAAGAATTAATTAAAAAAAAGACAGGGTGTGGTGCAGAGGATGTAGATCTATTGGGTAAGAATACTAACGGTTTATTGTGAAATGTTTATTTTTTTTGCATTCGTGATGGAAGTAATGACATTTTGGACCCCTTAGCAACATAAGTCTGGTTTTAATAAAAATGTATAAATTCTGCACAATTTTGTAGATAAATACACAAAAGAAAACTAAGCTGTTTTATGAATATCTGTATGATTTTAGCAAAAATTGATAAAGAATAAAATACAAAGCTAACCTAAACTCTAAAGAGTATTATAGGGAGCCAACAACCTCTATTACCAAATACATCCATATAAAAAAAGTAATACACCACTGCTGATGAAGTCTGTCATATGACAAAACGCATCAAGTGGGGTTAAGTGGTGTGATGTCATCACGCAAGCTAAACATGTATGGACATAACTGAATGGTAATACCTGCCTGTGCAGTTTAATAAAGGTCCAAGCCATAGTGATGTGACACTCTTGTTTGTAAGTTTGATTGCATTTTTCTTAGCTTTGAAAATAAAAAATGTGAATTGCTGAGATCCTGCATTTGGGAAAGATGTGGGACAAGCAAAGAAGCTGTTTCTGGAGGAGTAAAGAGGATCTTACTCTAGGGAAGCAGGGGCGGACTGACCATTTGGAAACTCAGGCACTGCCTGAGGGCCCGGGGTAAGTAGGGGGCCCCATGAGATGCCCTTGGTACCTTTTTCATCATAGGCTTTTTTGAGTTTGGGCAAGGACACAGGGGCCCCATGATCCCCTATTGCCCGGGGGCCCCATGAGTTGTCAGTCTGCCCCTGGGTGGAAGTATTGGTGCTCTATAAAGTATAAAAGAAACCGCTATTTATAAAGATCTCTTTATTAGCACTAAGACTCTGTAGCACGTTTTTTTCCCATATTTTACTGATATATTATGGGAATTAGAGGTTTGTGTTTGAACTAAGCACATATTGTATTACGTTTTTGCATGGATAATGTTCTGTTTGATAATTTGATTTATATGGATACATTTGAGAATAGAGGTTATTTGATAATTTATTATATGGATACATTTGAGAATAGAGGTTAATAGTTAAACTATAATACATTTTAGGGTTTAGGTTAGCATAGCATACTGTATATTTAATTATCAATGTCTGGTTAAACTGTTCGCTTTTGTGACCAGAAAGCTTTATTTGGCTTCACCAGACTACTAAGTGACATATCGGACTGGATGTCACTCCACTTCCTCAAACTCAACCTTTCCAAAACTGAGCTCTTAGTATTCCCTCCAGCCCGTGCCCCCCCCCTGACTTCTCCATCAAGATCAACAACACTATCATTAGTCCCACCCCTCACGCCAGGGTACTAGGTGTAATCCTAGACTCCAATCTGTCCTTTCAGCCCCAGGTCCAATCGCTGACAAACGCATGTAGACTTCACGATATCTCCAAGATACGACCGTTCCTAACCTCAGAAACCACTAAGCAACTCATTCACTCCCTTATTATATCACGCCTTGACTACTGTAACTCCCTCCACACTGGCCTACCTCATCGCAGGCTATCCCCACTACAGTCCATCATGAATGCTGCTGCTAGACTCATTCAACTTACTAACCGCTCTGTATCTGCCACCCCTCTCTGCCAATCCCTCCACTGGCTTCCCATTGCCCAACGGATAAAATTCAAAACACTAACACTAACGTATAAAGCCGTTCATAACACTGCCTCCAATTACATCACCGATCTTGTCTCTAAATACCACCCAAACCGTACTCTCCGTTCCTTGCAAGACCTCCTACTCTCTAGCTCCCTTGTCTCCTCCTCCCATGCTCATCTCCAGGATTTCTCAAGGGCTTCACCCATGCTCTGGAACTCCCTACCCCAATCTATCAGGCTATCGCCTACTCTGATAACCTTTAGGCGCACTCTGAAAACCCATCTCTTCAGGAAAGCCTACCCCGTCCCCAGCTAAATACTGGAATCCTCTACTCTTCCTACCACTCCATCCCCCACAGCTAATTACCTTTTGTACCACTATCCCCTCCCTCCTAGATTGTAAGCTCCAAGGAGCAGGGCCCTCTAATCCCTCTTGTATTGAACTGTATTGTTGCTGTATTGTCTCCCTCCATAATGTAAAGCGCTGAGCAAACTGTCGGCGCTATATAAGTCCTGTATAATAATAATAATATTAATTTGGAATCGAGCAAATTACCATGGCTGTCCTCTAAACTGCCTGACATCCACATTTGTCCTGTAGGACAGTATGGCTGCAGTGGATGTCACTAATATACAGTTCAAGAGATTCCTTTTCCACCTAAGCTACAACAGAAGTGGCAGCAGAAGGCACATTGAATCTCATTTGTGTTGGAGATGTTAGAACTGCCTCTATTAACTCATTTGTTGATCAAGTGGAGCAATTGATTAAAATACCTTTAAATGAATAATGTCTCAATCGAATGTGCGTACTTAAGTGTAAACCTGTGCAAGGCCGTGCTTGCCTGCATGGGATGTACGGTTGTTCCTTGCACCCCTGTGCAGGCAGTCCCATTCATCTTTATTGGGATGCAGCAGATTGAAGATATAGCCACGGCTCCCAATTTGACATCCATATGGGTGTGTGTGGGATCATAAATGGGACTGCTTGCATGCAAATGCACAGAACACCTGTGCATCCCATATGGGCAAACATTTCCCTCACAGGGGTGTACGCTTATGTACATCTGTGTGAATGAGGCCTAATGCAATTTAAGACTTAACATTATAAATCTGTTAATACCTAACATATTAGAAAACAAGCACTGGGACTTTTTCTGGGATTAATAGATGAGTTGTGCCAGGTTGTATTATTAGGACTTGTTTAACATTTCATGTGCAATACTCACTGAGCTCTTCTCACGACTCAAAGACTTGAAGGCTCATATTGTGTCGTATTAGCACCAATAAGCGCTCTGATGTTGCTACCACTAGATAATATGTGGCCTATTTATAAACAATGTTGGACAAATGAGACAACATTCACCCATCCTTGACAAATTTGTTTAATAAGATGATTTCCTATGATTGTCAGCTTCATCTAGTGGCCATAATGCATTACATAGTAGGTTGTACTAAACTAAAGGTCAACACAGACAGCTCATATTGTAGACATTTTGATATATGAGGCCCAGTGTTGATAAGCATTGTCAATTCTTCTTTATTATGCTGAATCTTCTACATTGAAACTTCTCAAACTAGGTGACCTTTATTACATGATACTCTAACTAAAGAACACCTCAACTCTTCCTGTCCTTGCTCAAATCAGATCAGTTCTAGGAATTTATGCCTGTTGCAGCTCTAATCAGCGGAATGTATGACGCTTGGCCTATGGATCTCAGTAGTGTAATGAAAGATTCTGTACCCTTCAGTCCAATGGCTTTCTTCTCTGCATAATTACATATAACACCAGCATCTTCACTGTGCCAGCAGTTGTGGATTCCACTGTCCTGCTTCCTGCATTCTGCCAGTGTGGTTTCTGTGCCATTGCAGTCTACGTTATCCAGGTGAATTGGACCTTGTCCTTCACCAAAGTAAGCCATTGTCCTGGCTTTGGCAGGACCCCTAAATATAAAAGAAAAATAATTTTGCTTAGATCGGTTTGCTCTGTCTACTTCATGCTGTACCATGTTTGCAAGAACAAGACCATACTGTATTAAATAGCTAAAACAAACAGATGCCATCTGTGTCTTCCAATTATAGAGAGGCAACAGTAAGAAGCAATCCAACAAGTGGGGCTGCTCTATAGCAAGCCTCAGATGTTCCACATAGAGGGAGTGATGTAGGCAAATTGTGAAAGCACTCTGTTTAATGCTAAAGGTTAATCTCGTTGGCGCAGATGTGTGAATTACTTTTTCTATGTAAGTTTTTTAAGTCGTTTTTAAATTTCACTCTTGTCACTTGCGGAGCTCATGTCATGGTATTTTTGCTGTAGATTAGCCAATAGTACTGAATTGGAGTTGGATGGGATTATAACCCTTTAATAAAATGGTCAAGTCATTTTATTCACAGGTACCAAACAAAAGAATCCAGGGAACATCCCATGCCAACAACCATTTTGCATGACAGAACGCTATCACAGGACATAGTTCTGGTATATTTAAAGGGAACTGTACAATAAGAAACCAGAAATGCAGGCGTAAAGGTTTGTCAGGCACCATGGTGGTCATATGCTTTATAGAAGAAATACAGGGGTCAATTTACTAAAGGCAAAATAATCTGTTCACTTTGCAAGGGAAGTTTCCCCAGAGCTTTTTTTTTTTTTAAATATAATTTTTACTCATTTTCAACATAAGTAAACAAAATTAATGGACATCTCAAGTCCACTAAAAGAAATAAATTAAGAAAATAGGCATTCTTATATCATAAAAGCAGTAAACTGAACAATGTTACTTCAGCACTTATGCATATGTCGTCATATTTTCACTTAGTTACAAAGAAATAGGATCTCAAACCTTAAACGATGAATAATGACCCAGTAATGAGAGATATCCCTTTCAAAGGAAAAACTAAATTGAAATTAAAAAAAACGAGAGAAAAAAAAAAGAAAATAAATAGATAATTAGGAGATAAAAAGAACACATAAAGAAGACAAAAAGAAATATAAACATGGAATGCAGTCAAGTTTTCTTTTCAAATTCTCATAGATATTACATCCTGATTCCTGAAAGTCAAGTATTAATTTTTTTTTTTAATTTTCAAGCCTATATCAGGGATACAAAGAGATAAAGCTAAATAGAACATCCAATGCTTACTTTGCATAAATTAAAACGGAAATTGATTTAACCCTTTGAGGACCGTAAGATTTTGGAACGCCAAAAGAATCAATTTTTTTGTTTTTAAAGTTCGTACACTTCAGTTGCTGTAACTAAGCCATTTCATGAAATAATTGGCAAAAAGCTAGATCCATTTGTTGTTTGTTGATAAGAACTAATATTTTGACTCAAACCAAAAAAAAAAGAATTTTAAGTTCTTAATTAGATGATACACGCAATTAAAAACATGGGACAAATACGTCCCTTGGTCCTCAACTTCAATCTACCCAGAGAATTTGGATACATTTGTTGTATGGTACTTGAATAGCAGAATGTAGATATGAGCAACGTAATTTCAGAATCTGATAATGTGTGTTCAAAGATTGCCATCTCTTGAAAAAAACGAGCTGTGGAACCATAAAATTGAGGAACAGTGTCTAGTTTCTCAATATACATTAGGGCTTTGAGATCTTTTTTTAACCATAGATAACTTGGGAGGTGTAGCCACTGTCCAAGATGTCAATATCCCCAGAGCTTAGTGATAAAAATTCACTTTGCAAAGAATACCCAACCAAAAGAAAGGAAAATAAAAACCAGTATGTTTGTTTGCACTTGTTTGGATGATGACAGTCAGCAGAGCTTTACCACATTTACTAAGCTGATGGAAACTTCTTTTGCAAGGTGAACAGCTTATTTATCTTTGCTAAATCAGCCCATAGTGTCAATGGGATATGTATACATCTCTGTGTGTATTTTAAGGATCATTGAATATAGATTTGTTATTTTATTATTGTTCATGCCATTTTGACAGACGAACCTTTACACCTACATTTCTAGTTTCTTGTTATTATGAAAAGACAGCCTTTAGAAGCAATATGTTTTCTGATTTCTTAGTAAATCATTTGTTGCATCCCCAAACTCCCATGAGTGATCTATTTCCATATATTTGTTATTTACTGTACAATAAGATCATAATGTTTGAGGTCAGCTTTGGATGTGGCTTATGTGAACTTCCATCTGACATGTAAAACTGTCTCTGTTTATCAATGCAGATTGTAGACACATATATGCTGTGCATCTCAGCACAGTTTTGCTTTTTTGGCATTGGGAGGAATGATGTGTCTGCACAGATGTTTCAAATGCCCTCATGAGAACTCATGTCAGATGGTTTAGGTTTTAAATGCCAGTAAAGTAATACATTTTCTGTTTCTTACAGACAATATATGTTCCTATACACACTTGGCATTATGCTCCTTGTCATTGTCAGACAAAACCACTAGATGACTTTGCCAAAACTGTTACATTACACCAGTATTAAACAAGCTGAGGAAAGGTAAAATAAAAGTAATCTGATGTCATTAAATAAAATTCTATTACAGATTTTGTTAAATAAACAGAACTAATATTTAAAATTAAAATCCAGCATTTTTTGAATTAGGGAAAGGTTGTTTTATTGATGTCAGTGTCTCATTTAGGAACATTTTTGCCTCGTGCCTTGATGACTACTACTATAGCAAGGCTGTAAAATGAACTTCCTATCTTTGAAATAGAAAACTTCTGCTTTTCCTTACTCTACAGCATCATAGTTCCTGAAGGGTATGGGTTTCCCCTAAATGGTTCATAGCAAGCCAATCACCTGTGGCCAAGCTGCCGGCAGACCACCACCGCATCCTTGTCTGTCCAGCCATCGTCACACACACTGCCCCACTCTCCATTGAGGAATATCTCCACTCTGCCTTCTTTGGTGCTCTCCCCATCCATCAAACGAATTGGAGGCCCTAAAACCATGAATAATATTAATTTACTACGTGTCTAAAATGAAGCTATTGGACATTAGACAGACAAAGAAAATAGGTGGATAATAAATACAGGAATGATAGATAGATAGATAGATAGATAGATAGATAGATAGATAGATAGATAGATAGATAGATAGTATACAATTGTGTTTTGGCATGTTGACCATTATAAAAAAAAAAAAACATTTGGAAGCTATGCAAAGAAATTCAACAAAAATGTAAGTTGGAATAAAGGTCTGATATGTGAAAGTAGCAATTCAACAAGTACAGAGTTTGATGAATTAGTCCCTGTACAAAGGCACAGAAAGTAGACGCCCTTGCATAAATAGATTTGATGTCCATTTTATCCAAAATAATGAAACTTTGATCTCTCTGCAAAGAATAAGTTATGAAGAATACTACCTGTTGGTAATATTTCAAAGATGTCATTGGTGTCATTGGAGCACTGCACTCCCACATCCTCAGAGTGAGAGCAGTCATGCTGGCCCCAGCTACTACGTGTACAGTCCACTAGAGTGCGCTCTTTGCCTGTGCAAGACACATCATCCAGAAGAATCAGTCCTTCTCCAGCTCCATACTTCAACTTTGATGCCAAGTTAGAAGGACCACTGCAAGGCAAATAACCGATTGAAAAAACAAAATTACATTGACAGGCGTGCAAGAATTATTATTATTCTCTTTCCCATTCTTCAGTAAACTTATTAATATGATTATACATGATTCATTCGGTCATTCAGTTTGTGCATTATTTATATATATATATATATATATATATATATATATATATATATATATATATATACACAGTGGGGATCGAAAGTTTGGGCACCCCAGCTAAAAATTTGTATTAATGTGCATAAAGAAGCCAAAAAAAGATAAAAAAAATCTCCAAAAGGCATCAAATTACAGATTAGACATTCTTATAATATGTCAACAAAAGTTAGATTTCATTTCCATTATTTACACTTTCAAAATAACAGAAAACAAAAAAAATGGCGTCTGCAAAAGTTTGGGCACCCTGCAGAATTTATAGCATGCACTGCCCCCTTTGCAAAGCTGAGATCTGCCAGTGTCATGGATTGTTCTCAATCATCGTCTGGGAAGACCAGGTTATGTCAATCCCAAAGGTTTTAAATGCCCAGACTCATCTGACCTTGCCCCAACAATGAGCACCATGGGTTCTTCTAAGCAGTTGTCTAGAAAACTGAAACTGAAACTAGTTGACGCTCACAAAGCTGGAAAAGGCTATAAGAAGATAGCAAAGCGTTTTCAGATGTCAATATCCTCTGTTCGGAATGTAATTAAGAAATGGCAGTCATCAGGAACAGTGGAAGTTAAAGCAAGATCTGGAAGACCAAGAAAAATATCAGACAGAACAGCTCGCAGGATTGTGAGAAAAACAATTCAAAACCCACGTTTGACTGCACGGTCCCTCCAGAAAGATCTGGCAGACACTGGAGTTGTGGTACACTATTCCACTATAAAGAGATACTTGTACAAATATGGTCTTCATGGAAGAGTCATCAGAAGAAAACCTCTTCTACGTCCTCACACCACAAAAATCATCGTTTGAACTTTGCAAATGAACATATAGACAAGCCTGATGCATTTTGGAAACAAGTTCTGTGGACCGATGAGGTTAAAATTGAACTTTTTGTCCGGAATGAGCAAAGGTACGTTTGGAGAGAAGGGGCACAGAATTTAATGAAAAGAACCTCTGTCCAACTGTTAAGCATGGGGTTGGATCAATCATGCTTTGGGGTTGTGTTGCAGCCAGTGGCACAGGGAACATCTCACGAGTAGAAGGAAAAATGGATTCAATAAAATTTCAGCAAATTTTGGATGGTAACTTGATGCCATCTGTGAAAAAGCTGAAGTTAAAGACAGGATGGCTTGTACAAATGGATAATGATCTAAACACACCTCGAAATCCACGGGGGATTACATCAAGAGGCGTAAACTGAAGGTTTTGCCATGGCCTTCACAATCTCCTGACCTCAACATAATTGAAAATCTATGGATAGACCTTAAAAAAGCAGTGCGTGACAGACAGCCCAGAAATCTCAAAGAACTGGAAGACTTTTGTAAGGAAGAATGGGCAAAGATACCTCAAACAAGAATTGAAAGACTCTTGCTGGCTACAAAAAGCATTTACAAGCTGTGATACTTGCCAAAGGGGGCAGTACAAGATATTAACTCTGCAGGGTGCCCAAACTTTTGCAGACGCAATTTTTTTGTTTTCTGTTATTTTGAAAGTGTAAATGATGGAAATAAAATCTAACTTTTGTTGACATATTATAAGAATGTCTAATCTGTAATTTGATGCCTTTTGGAGATTTTTCCATCTTTCCTTGGCTTCTTTATGCACATTAATACAAATTTTTAGCTGGGGTGCCCAAACTTCCGATCCCCACTGTATATATATATATATATATATATATATATATATATATATATATATATATACACACACACACATATACACACACACGCACAAAAAGTACAAAAAGTATTTGCCTCCCCCCCATTAAATATTTCAGATCACCAAACAAAAATGTAATAAGATACCCCGAGTAAATAAAAAAATCCAGTTTTTAAACTATGATTTAATTTATTAAGGGAAAAAAGCTGTTCAAACCAGCCTGGCCCTGTGTGAAGAAGTAACCCCCCCCCCCCCCTTGCTAAATCATGAATGAACAGTGATTAACCACAATGTTTGGAAAACGGAGTTAAATTTCACTTGCCACACTCAGGCCTGATTACTGTCAGACCTGTTGAATCAAAAAATCACTTAAATAGAAGCTGTCTGACAAAGTGAAGCACACTAAAAGATCTCAAAAAGCAACACATCAATCTAAAGAAGTTCAAGAACAGATGGGAAACAAATTAAATTATATGTATCAGACTGGAAAGGGTTATAAAACCATTTCTGAGGCCAGAGAACCACGGTGAGAGCCATTATCCACAAATGCAGAAAACTTGGAGCAGTGGTGAACCTTCCCAGGAGTGGCCGGCTTACCAAAATTACTCCAAGAGCACAACAACGACTCATCCAGGAGGTAAAAAAAGAACAAAACATCTAAAGAACTGCAGGCCTCACTTGCCTCAGTTAAGATCAGTGTTCATGATTCAACAATAAGAAAAAATCTAGGCAAAAATGGCATCCATGGGAGAGTTCAAGGCATAAACCAATTCTGACCAAAAAAGAACACAAAGGCTCGTCTCACATTTACCAAAGGACATCTTGGTTATCCCCAATACTTTTGGGCAAGTATTCTGTGGACTGATGAGACAAAGTTGAACTTTTTGGAAGGTGCGCGTCCCATTACATCTGTCGTAAAACTAACACAGCATGTCATAAAAAGAACATCATACCAACTGTCAAACATGATGGTGGTAGTGTGATGGTCTGGGGCTACTTTTCAGCTTCTGGACCTGGACGAATTGCCATAATTGATGGAACCATGAATTCTGCACTCTACTGGAAAATTCTGAAGGAGAATGTCTGGCCATCAGTTTGTGACCTCAGGCTAAAACGCACTGGGGTTATACAGCAGACTAGTGATCTGAAACACACCAGCATGTCCACCTCTGAATGGCTCATAAAAAACAAAATTAAGGTTTCGGAGTGCCTAGTCAAAGTTGAGACTTAAATCTGATTGAGATGCTGTGGCATGACCTTAAACAGGCTGTTCATGCTCAAAAACCCTCTAATGTGGCTGAATTAAAAATTTCTGCAATGAAGAGTGACCCAAAATTCCTCAACAGAAATGTGAAAGACTCATTGCCAGTTATTGCAAATGCTTAATTGCAGTTGTTGCTGCCAAGGGTGGCACATCCAGTTATTAGGTTTAGGGGGCAATTTTTTATACATAGGGCCAGGCAGGTTTGGACAGCTTTTTTTTCTTAATAAATTAAATAATCATTTAAAAACTGCATTTTGTATTTACTTGGGTTATCTTTGTGTAATATTACAATTTGTTTGATGATCTGAATCATTTAAGTGTGACAAATATGCAAAAAAAACAAAAACATCAGGAAGGGGCAAATACTTTCTCTTAGCACTGTGTGTGTACACACACACATACTGTATATACACACACATACATACTGTATACACACATACATACTGTATACACACACATACTGTATATACACACACATACATACTGTATACACACATACATACTGTATACACACACACATACTGTATACACACACACACATACTGTATATACACACACATACATACTGTATACACACACATACATACTATATACACACACGTACACACGTGTACCTATACCTATTGCACATATATATTATATATATTAGAATACTGTATATATATTAGTAAAGTTTTGAACACAACTCTTTTATGATACAACTGTATTATTGATGACATGTAATAAATACCTGTAACCAAGCTGCCTGCAGACCACCTGGGCATTAAGTTCAGTCCATCCATCATCACAAACTGTACCCCATTCTCCCTTGTAAAATATTTCCAGCCTTCCTTCACCAGCCTCCTTCCCTCCAGTCAATTTTAGTGCACCATCTGAATTAAATATACAGCTACATAAATATACATAATAACAAAGACATATGTTCATTATTGGATCATTTACATGCATATCAAACAGCTCACACAATGTATGATATATTCTAACGAGATAATCAATGTTATTCACTTAATCTGTCAGTCATAAAGTTATGGCTGATCAGTGTAGATCTGTGCCATTATTGTGAATGACAAAGTGTTTACTCTTTGCAGTTCCATTGCCTCATTTTTCAGCACAGATCTCATTAAAACGGAGCTCCAGTCTCCTGTAAAAAAAATAAAAATAAAGGTCAACAGCTACAAAAACTGTAGCTGCTGACATTGAAAAACATCCACTCACCTATCCCAGAATCCAGTGGTGTCCTCATCCCCAGCCGGGTTCACTGTCCATCCTCTGTCCCCGGCATCTTAAGTGTGGGCACCCTGCGGTGACAGCTTGCGGCTTCATAGCTGGGTGGCCACTGCGCATGCACGAGCAGTGTTGCGCATTGTGAATGGTCCTGCAGTCATCTGGGACCTGTTACGTGTCTCAGAAGACTGCTGGGCGGGGCGGGATGGAGAACTTCGGCTTCTGATTGCCTAGGTGGTCAGAGTGAAAGTGGAAGCAGGTACCTGTCAAATTCAGGTACCTGCTCCCCAAAAATGCCAATCCTTAATGGGGAGTGGGGGACAAGTTGTTAAAGCAGAACTTCCCCTTTTGACTGGAGCTCCGCTTTAACAATGTGTGCAGTTTCCATAGGTCCAAAAAATATCAATCAAGTTATTTTATGTTATAAAAAACATTTTGTATGGGAATGTGCATGCTGTGAGAGATTCACAATCTCATTTTATTTCTATTTTTATTTTCTATTAACATTTTATTTTCCATATTATTTTGCATGACTATCTGGCATAGCAGCTCACAAGATTCTGCACTTTATTCCAAAGCTCCAAGCTGTTCTTTATTTGGGCAGACTGTACCTCTTTTGAAACCAAATCTCTTTGTCCCTCTTTCCTCCTCAGTTGTTCATCTTTTTGTTTGGATGTACATAATGTACTATTCAGCTAGCAAAAGTGTTATACTACAGTAAACCTTTCATCCAGCCTCTCTATTACTGCATTATTATTGCATTGTTTTTGTGTTTTTTGTTTTTTTAACTCAGTATACAGTAAAATAAGGGTGAACAAAAGCTCACCCCATACAAATAATTTTTGTATATTAATTTTTTATGGTCAGAATAAATGAGGGCCCTGACTGGCCATAGGGCACATCGGAAATTTGCCCGATGGTCCGGGGCTGCGTGTCCTAGGAAGAGTGGCCTGTGGATGACTGGGCCGCTCAGAAGGAGGTAAGTGGCGACCGCGGTCTGGACAGGGTTAACACAGACCGCAGCCGCCGCTCGCCTCTCGCTATGTGGCTGTGCCTACAGCAGGGCCGGTTCCGGCAAATTAGGAGATGCAGAAGAGAACCTGCTAGTAGGGGACACACCTTCCAAACCGGCCGCAGGAAATGCACTGCACTGAGCATGGCGGGATCTCACCTAACCATGATGGCTCCACAGGGGAGGGAGGTGAGTGCAGTGCAGCCATACATCCCGCTCTGTAGCAGCGGTGGTGTGTGTGTGTGTGTGTGTGTGTGGGGGGGGGGGGGTGGATTGGGCTGTCTCTTTGCTGGACTGGGCTGTCTCTTTACAGGATGGGGATGTTTCTTTGCTGGATTGGGCTGTCTCTTTGCTGGACGGGCTGTCTCTTTGCTGGGTTGAGCTGTCTCTTTGCTGGTTGAGCTGTCTCCTTGCTGGATGGGCTGTCTCCTTGCTGGACTGGGCCGTCTCTTTGCTGGATTGGGCCGTCTCTTTGCTGGATTGGGCTGTCTCTTTGCTGGATTGGGCCGTCTCTTTGCTGGATTGGGCCGTCTCTTTGCTGGTTGAGCTGTCTCTTTACTGGATGAGCTGTCTCTTTACTGGATGAGCTGTCCTCTTTGCTGATGAGCTGTCTGCTGTCTGGACAGGCTGTCTCTTTGCTGGATGAGCTGTCTCTTTACTGGGTGAGCTGTCTGCTGTCTGGACAGGCTGTCTCTTTGCTGGATGGGCTGTCTTCTTACTGGATGAGCTGTCTGCTTGCTGGACGGGCTGTCTCTTTGCTGGATGAGCTGTCTCTTTGCTGGATTGGTCTGTCTCTTTGCTGGATTGGTCTGTCTCTTTGCTGGATGGGCTGTCTCTTTGCTAGACAGCTGTCTCTCTGCTTGACTGAGTTGTCTCTTTGCTGGATTAGGCCATCTCTTTGCTGTAAGGGCTGTCCCTTTAGTGCTTGAGCTGTCTCTTTACTGGATGGGCTGTTTCCTTGCTGGATGGGCTGTCTCTTTGCTAGAGGGGCTGTCTCTTTGCTGGATGAGCTGTCTCCTTGCTGGAGGGGCTATCTTTTTACTGGAGGGGCTGTCTCTTTACTGGAGAGGCTGTCTCTTTGCTGAATGTGATGTCTCTTTACTGGACTGGGCCATCTCTTTGCTTGGTTGGGCAATCTCTTTGCTGGATGGGCTGTCTCTTTACTGGTTGAGCTGTCTCTTTGCTGGATTGGGCTGTCTCTTTGCTGGTTGAGTTGCCTCTTTACTGGAGGGGCTGTCTCTTTACTGGGCGGGAGGTCTCTTTGCTGGACAGGGATGTCTCTTTGCTGGATTGGGATGTCTCTTTGTTGGATGGGGATGTCTCTTTGCTCAGTTGGGTCCAGCAAAGAGACACCCCAATCCAGCAAAGAGACAGCCCTGTCAAAGAAGGGACATCCCCATCCAGCAAATAGATATCCCTGTCCAGCAAAGAGACAGCTCATCTTTTTGTGGATTGGGATGTCTTTGTGGATTGGGATGTGTCTTTGCTGGATTGGGATGTCTCTTTGCTATATGGGGATATCTCTTTGCTGGACTGGGCTGCCTCTCTGCTGGACTGGGCTGCCTCTTTGCTGAATTGGGCTGTCTCTTTGAATATATAGGGGGCATTGTCATTATATCTCTAGGGGCACTGTAATGAAAGGGACACTGTGCAGTACCCTTTATATCACAGTGCCCCTTTACATTTCAGTGCAGAGGATCGACTCCGTGAATATTCCGTCACCAACTGCCCCCACAAATGCCCAGCCGGAAATTGGCTGCTCAGTCTAAAATGCCTGGGCCTAATTTTTGTCCCAGCCTAGGCCTGGCTGTGGTATAGCCTTTGCTTACATACTTTGTACTAAAATTATGTCTTTTTTTCTCATCTAAGGCTCCTATACACACTAGTGTTTTTTTCTAAGCTCAATAAATGCTGGCCAAATTGCTGGATACAAACTGTTGGTAATAGCATTTTTTAGTAGCATGTTAGTAGCATACAGAAATGTTTAGGAGCATTAGTGCTTTGTTAGCATTTTTACAGTACATGTAGAGGAAAAAAAGCTAGAAAAAAAAAAACTCTTAGGAGGGTTTAGGAGGGTTTTTTTCTGCTGCAACAAATGTTCCAAAAAAACTCTAAAGAAAAAGGTTTGTTGTGCACCCAGAAGCTGACGTTCAAAAAAAATGCTAATAGCTTAGTAGTATGCATGGACACATAGGATAACACTATTTAGCTTCTAGGAGCAGAAAAAAATGCTAATAACAGCTTCTAGGAGCTTAAAAAAAAACACTAGCGTGCATGGAGCCTACAAAAGAAAGTATGAATTTCACAAACATTTAAGCAAACCATATGTACTTAATGTAAAGGTATATACCGAATCAAGTTAAAGCTGATGTCCAGATTTCTGTCACTTTAAAATAGTTCCTTTGGACCAAGCTGGTCCAAACAAACTGTTACCTTCACTAACAGATGCCTCTTCTGTGAGCACAGTATAAAAACTGTACGTAACATCAGCTACATACAGTATACATCATTGTGTTCTGGCAATGGAACGGAGACTTTCCATCATAAAATACAAAGCTCCCTGTGAATGGCGGAGCATCAGTCAGCCCCATTCGATTTTGTTCCAGGAACAGGACAGGAAACTAATGCTAAATACTTTTTATACAGTGCTCACAGTTGGCGCATCTATTTACAAAGGTAATAGTTTGTTTGGACCAGCTTGGCCTACCCAAGCTATATGCAGAGCAGAAAGCTGGAGTTTGGTTTTAGCCACTCGTCTATCAAGGTACGTTTATAATTGGTATGAAAGAAAAGTTGGTAAATTACACTCACAGTTGTTGCTGCAGCTCTGAGCTTGGTACTGGCTTTAAGAGCTTTTTAAAAAAAAAAAAAAAAAAGTGATTGGGCGGCTCTAGAGCTTCTCCATCACTTTCATTTGGCTTCAAAGGGCTAGCCCCCTCAATAAAGTTAAAGTTTTACAAAGGGACCCTGCATTCACTATATCTGGTCTTCCACAGTGCACAGAACATGGAAATGCAATTATTTTAGTAAATATAAACTGCTAAATACCTTTTCTCATTAGCAGTTAGAGCAGTCTTGTGACTTCTATCAGTGTCCAGCCCACCACTAGCTAAAGCTTGTAGGAGGAGTTTTCTTTCTGCTCTAGGAGGATGGAAATCCCCTGACCTCTGTCTGGACAGCGCTGATTGGCCCTGTGCTAATCACATGTTCTCTCCCAAGAAAAAAAAAAAAACAAAAAAAAAACGCTCTAGCAATACACACCAAACTGAGCATGTGTATATGCCTACGGTTCAGTCTGGAGATAAGAGGTGGTCGCTTGAAATAGGGGAGGAACAGAGAAGAAAGGATCAAACAGCTTTTTTTACACAAGGCAGAGCATTAACCCCTTAGGTTCCACAGTGAGTATAACAAGCATGCTTTACTGCATATACAGACTGATTCTACTGTTGTGTGTTTAGTAACACTTTAAAAAAAAATATAAAAAAGAATTATATAAAATACAGTGGGGCAAAAAAGTATTTAGTCAGCCACCAATTGTGCAAGTTCTCCGGCTTAAAAAGATGAGAGAGGCCTGTAATTGGCATCATAGGTAGACCTCAACTATGAGAGACAAAATGAGAAAAAAAATCCAGACAATCACATTGGCTGATTTGGAAAGAATGTATTTGCAAATTATGGTGGAAAATAAGTATTTGGTCAATATCAAAAGTTCATCTCAATACTTTGTTATATATCCTTTGTTGGCAATGACAGAGGTCAAACGTTTCCTGTAAGTCTTCACAAGTTTGGCACACACTGTTGCTGGTATGTTGGCCCATTCCTCCATGCAGATCTCCTCTAGAGCAGTGATGTTTTGGGGCTGTCGCTGGGCAACACGGACTTTCAACTCCCTCCAAAGGTTTTCTATGGGGTTGAGATCTGGAGACTGGCTAGGCCACTCCAGGACCTTGAAATGCTTCTTACGAAGCCACTCCTTTGTTGCCCGGGCGGTATGTTTGGGATCATTGTCATGTTGGAAGACCCAGCCACATTTCATCTTCAATGCCCTTGCTGATGGAAGGAGGTTTGCACTCAAAATCTCATGATACATGGCCCCATTCATTCTGTCCTGTACATGGATCAGTCGTCCTGGTCCCTTTGTGGAGAAACAGCCCCAAAGCATGATGTTGCCACCCCCATGCTTCACAGTAGGTATGGTGTTCTTTGGATGCAACTCAGCATTCTCTCTCCTCCAAACACGATGAGTTGTGTTTCTACCAAACAGTTCTATTTTGGTTTCATCTGACCATATGACATTCTTCTGGATCATCCAAATGCTCTCTAGCAAACTTCAGATGGGCCCGGACATGTACTGGCTTAAGCAGGGGGACACGTCTGGCACTGCAGGATCTGAGTCCCTGGCTGCGTAGTGTGTTACTGATGGTAGCCTTTTTTATGTTGGTCCCAGCTCTCTGCAGGTCATTCACTAGGTCCCCCCGTGTGGTCCTGGGATTTTTGCTCACCGTTCTTGTGATCATTTTGACCCCACAGGGTGAGATCTTGCGTGAAGCCCCAGATCGAGGGAGATTATCAGTGGTCTTGTATGTCTTCCATTTTCTAATTATTGCTCCCACAGTTGATTTGTTCACACCAAGCTGCTTGCCTATTGCAGATTCAGTCTTCCCAGTCTGGTGCAGGTCTACAATTTTGTTTCTGGTGTCCTTCGACAGCTCTCTGGTCTTCACCATAGTGGAGTTTGGAGTGTGACTGTTTGAGGTTGTGGACAGGTGTCTTTTATACTGATAACAAGTTCAAACAGGTGCCATTGATACAGGTAATGAGCGCAGGACAGAGGAGCCTCTTAAAGAAGAAGGTACAGGTCTGTGAGAGCCAGAAATCTTGCTTGTTTGTAGGTGACCAAATACTTATTTTCCACAATTTGCAAATAAATTCTATCCAAATCAGCCAATGTGATTGTCTGGATTTTTTTTTCTCATTTTGTCTCTCATAGTTGAGGTCTACCTATGATGCCAATTACAGGCCTCTCTCATCTTTTTAAGTGGGAGAACTTGCACAATATTACAATAGATGACTCTCTTTTTTTAAGATTTATTTTTCAACAAATATTTATTGGGCATTTTGGTTATTTTTACAACACAGTTAAAGACTCAAATACAAATGGAAATACAAAAACATGAAAAAAAAAAAAGAAGTTTCATCCAACAGCAAGTGAACAAACAAATGAAAATGCAGATGAAAGAAAATTACCTGTTTAGGTACACTGAAAAGGGCAGTACCTGCACAGGCAGGTGAGTGTGGAGCACTTATCTGGGAAATGAGTGGGAAGGGCAGTTGGAGAAGTGTTAAGCTAGTCATAATAGGTTCGAATTTTGGAGAATTCAACATGAAATATGAGCTTGTCGGCACCTCCATTTAACAATTGACAGAGCCTGGTGGAAAATTGTTACTCAAACGGTGACTGCATCCTATCAGACACAGTCACTGGGTATTCAAACAACCATGGGTGCTTAGGCTGCCTGAATATAATAAGATGGCAGAGAAGATTTGGCCATCCATTGCTGTTAAGTGAGGATGGGGAAATCAAGTTATTTCCCTCGTTCTGGCTGTGGGGCTTAGGACGAGAAATCTGGCTGAGCGTGGCTAGCCTAAAGCTGACCATACACTAATTGAAATGTATCCAGTCCCTGCTGGACCAACTGAATTTCAATCAGTGTGTGGACTCCCCTGCTCAGTCAACAGAAGTCTATTGTTTAATTGATTATGTTGAAAGTTTTCTGTTGATCAGCAGCTGCAGCCTCAGTGTATTCTGACAGCGGCAAATGCTGAAAAAGACTAACTGTGTATGGCCAACTTTAGGAAAAGGGAGATGAAGGGTGGACCAAGCGTGTTCACTGATTGTGAGTACTAAGGATGAGAAAATCAGAGAGGGTGGCAGTGCTATGAAGGGGAAATTGGAGGGTCCTGGGCAAGGTGGGGGGAATACGGAACAGCAATTTCAGGTAACAAGTAAAAATCTATAAACTGCTAATGTTATGAAGAAATTAGAAGTCTACTGAGTTTACCCTAATCTGATTTTTATGTAGCTAGGTTCCATATCTCCTCACAAGTCTGCTCTGAAGGCTTCACATTGTTACATTCTCTCTCTCTCTGTCTTTGCTTGATTTATCACCATAAAGCATTCAAATTTCCAAGGCAGATTTATATACTGGTGGTTGTGAGAATATCTTTAAAACTGATGTTTTGATACATCAAAGCTTGAGATTCACTAAGCAGCCTTCCGTAGGGGTGTTTGGGAATCCCTAGTCTGCATTACAAATAGGTAGGTGACAGGGGTTCTAGGGTTACCAGTGTGACGAACCGTCCCTTTGTGATAACATTTTGCCCTTTCTGTTCCAGTTTTATCCCCTTGTTTTTAAAGCTGTATATGGTTAGCAGCTGTTATGTAGACAGGCATTCTACATTGTTTAATAGAAAGAAAACAAACTCTCTTGCGCCCTATGACCCAACACGGGGTAGGTAGATGGAGTCAGGACTTGAAAGTTTCTACCACCAGTGCATATGGGGTTGTGCAGCTCCAAACAAGGCTGGGGAAGCCCGACCAATACTGTGAAGAGAAAACAAAGAAAGAGCGCACCAACCTTGTGCATTACCTCAGTAAGCCAAAATTTATTAATTACAGAATAATACTCACAAACACTGAAGTATATCATGCATGTAAGTCCTCAAAGGGACTAAAGATAAAAGCAGCCTGCGTGAGTCCCATCAGAGGAGTGGACACTCAGGGAACAGCTGACGCGTTTCAAAGGACGAACCTTCTTCATCAGAGCTTGACTGAACAATGAGTGATCATTATATACAGGATATATATAGGACTACATATAGGAGTGATCACTCATTGTTCAGTCAAGCTCTGATGAAGAAGGTTCGTCCTTAGAAACGCGTCAGCTGTTCCCTGAGTGTCCACTCCTCTGATGGGACTCACGCAGGCTGCTTTTATCTTTAGTCCCTTTGAGGACTTACATGCATGATATACTTCAGTGTTTGTGAGTATTATTCTGTAATTAATAAATTTTGGCTTACTGAGGTCATGCGCAAGGTTGGTGCGCTCTTTGTTTGTTTTCACTTCATTCGACACTGTTTGTTTAAAGTAATGTGAACTTGTAGTCTTTCACTTCTCTAGATTTCATACTGTGCTATTGTGTTGTGCTGCAGAGTTTTGTTGTGGATGGGGAAAACCAGGTGCCAGACTGTCTGGTGGGGGTGGGGGTGAAGGGGCAGGGATTACTGCCAGGATGTGCTGTATAAACTGAGCTGTGTTCAATAAAGTATTAATTCATTCACCCTACACAAAGTTCCGACTCGTGGTTTGGGATATCGAAGAAATATTGTCCTTGAGCTCTAATACCCGCCTTGGCAGAGCGCTGGAAGACTTGCTGGAAAAGGGGACCATTGGCTGAGACACATCGCTCAGGAGGAAGTCCAGGCGGAATGGTTCCGCCACAACCAGATTGCAGAAAGAAGGACTTGCTATATGCTGCAGCATGGTCTGGATTAAAGACAGAAGCTCTATGCAGGTAGACTTAGTGCAGGTACACTTACATTGTAGATTCTCCCACCGCTATCCTGCCCCCTGCCCTCCTGCCAGACTTTTACTCATCTTTCCCCAATCTGCCAACAAGGCTACATGGTCTTTTGTCGAAATCATCTGAACCATGCCTGTGCCTCTGCACTCATTCCTATGAAGCGTTTGTACCCTGAGGTCTGGGGCTGGGGGTAGTGAAGCTACAATAGAGTGTAATTGCATCAACGGTGCCGTCACAAGTTAAAAAAAAAATCACAAAAAAAACAAAACATAGCACACACTTTCTTTAAATCTCAACCTACCTACATAAGGGTTACAGGAAACTCCAGCATCTTCAATATGGTCACAGTTGTGATGTTCCCATTCATTCTTCTTACAAAGGTCTAATGAAGTTTCATTTCCTAAACACTCCACTTCATCAAGTAATATAGGACCTGAGCCTTGTCCATAGTGTGCCCACACCAAGGCTTTCGGCTTGCCCCTTTAAGATATATAATATATATTATGAAAACAAAATATGAGAAATGTACCATACATGATTAAAATCTCTTGCCTTAGACAACGATACATGAAGCAAGCAATATCATTTAGTAAACAGAATAAAATAGATGTATTTCTAGTTCTGACCATATTACTATGAAATCACTTGGTAAGCATTAGGCCCCATGTACACGGGACACTTCTGAACAATGGAAACTGACTGCTGGAAAACGTAGGTTAAAAAAGTATGTTTAGCGGTGATTGCATAATGTGTTTATGCACGTTTATGTGCGTTTGCACACAAGCAATGTTTCATTACAATCTGTGACAAGCTTGGTAGGAACATCCTGTGTTCAGTGTTTTGTCCATCTGAGTACCTTGAAAACGCTTTGCATGCATTTTTCATGATGAAAAAAGGCTCTGGACAGCATCGGGATCTAGAAGAGTTAAAAAAAAATTTCAAACACAAACGCTTATAAACGCGATTTGCCACGTTTAGCTGCATTTACAAGCGTTTTGTGTTTGAAACGCTGATCAAATCGACTGCTGAACACAAGTTTTCTGCATTCAAAAAAAACCTGTAAACTCAAATGCCTGTAAACAACTGTAAACGAAGCTGTGTACATGCACACATAGGAAGACATTAGGGTGAGTTCAGGGGCTGCTGAAAAAAACGCTGAACAGCTACTAAATGTGAGTTTATCAGCTGCAGTGTACATGAGCCCTTAGAAGGCTGGCTAAAAACTGTGCAGCTTCTAACAAGATACAACGGAATGGAGCACTGCTTATTAAGCGTACAGTGCCTTCAAAAAGTATTCATACCCCTTGAAATTTTCCACATTTTGTCATGTTACAACCAAAAACTTAAATGTATTTTATTGGGATTTTATGTGATAGACCAATACAAAGTGGCACATAATTGTAAAGTAGAAAGAAAATGATAAATGGTTTTGAACATTTTTCACAAATAAATATTGGAAAAGTGTGGCGTGCATTCGTATTCAGCCCCTCTGAGTCAATACTTTGCAGAACCACCTTTCAATGCCATTACAGCTGCAAGTCTTTTTGGGGATGTCTCTACCAGCTTTGCACATCTGGAGAGTGACATTTTTGCCCATTCTTCTTTGCAAAACAGCTCAAGCTCTGTCAGATTGGATGGAGTCTTTTCAATTCAATTTTCAAGTCTTGCCACAGATTCTCAATTGGATTTAGGTCTGGACTTTGACTGGGCCATTCTAACACATCAATATGCTTTGATCTAAACCATTCCATTGTAGCTCTGGCTGTATGTTTAGGGTCATTGCCCTGCTGGAAGGTGAGCCTCCGCTCCAGTCTGAAGACTTTTGCAGACTCTAACAGGTTTTTCTCTAAGCTTGCCTTGTATTTGGCTCCATCCTTCTTCCCATCATTTCTGACCAGCTTCCCTGTCCCTGCTGAAGAAAAGCATCCTCACAACATGATGCTGCCACCACCATGTTTCACGGTGTGGATGGTGTGTTCAGGGTGATGTGCAGTGTTAGTTTTACGCCACACATAGCGTTTTGCTTTTAGGCCAAAAAGTTACATTTTGGTCTCATCTGACCAGATCACCTTCTTCCATATGTTTTCTGTGTCCTCCACATGGCATCTTGCAAACTGCAAATGGGACTTCGTTTGACTTTCTTTCAACAATGGCATTCTTCTTGCCACTCTTCTATAAAGGCCAGATTTGTGGAGCGCACGACTAATAGTTGTCCTGTGGACAGATTCTCCTACGTGAGCTGTGGAGCTCTGCAGCTCCTCCAGAGTTACCATAGGTCTCTTGGCTGCTTCTCTGATTAATGCTCTCCTTGCCCGGCCTGTCAGTTTAGGTGGACAGCCATGTCTTAGTAGGTTTGCAGTTGTGCCATACTCATTCCATTTTAGGTTGCTGGATTGAACAGTGCTCCGTGAGATGTTCAAAGCTTGGGATATTTTTTGGGATAACCTAACCCTACTTTATACTTCTTCACAATTTTATCCCTGACCTGTCTGGTGTGTTCCTTGGCCTTCATGATGCTGTTTGTTTCCTAATGTTAATAAACCTCCAAGGGCCTCACAGAACAGCTGTATTTGTACTAAGATTAAATTACACACAGGTGGACTCTATTTAATAATAATTAGGTGACCTTTGAAGGCAATTGGTTCCACTAGAATTTAGTTGGGGTATCAGATTAAAGGGTGCTGAATACAAATGCACACCACACTTTTCAGATATTTGTAAAACATTTTGAAAATTATTTACCACTTCACAATTATGTGCCACTTTGTGTTGGTCTATCACATAGAATCCCAATAAAATACATTTATATTTTTGGTTGTAACACAACAAAATGTGGAATATTTCAAGGGGTATGAATACTTTTTCAAGGCACTGTATATGGCTCAAGGAAAAACATTTTTTCATTTGGAAGAATAAAATATTAAAATTACAAAAATTTAAAATAAAAGTGTATGGAGATGTTCTAGTGTGAAATCTGTTCAGAAAATGAGTGTTCAAAAAAGTAAAACTCATAGTTTTGCAAGTTCTCAGTGGTCATTGCAGGGATCAATGGTAGAAGTATGTGTCAATAATAAGCTACATAGAAAACCATCACAAACATCTTGGCCCACTTACAGAATATACTGTATAACAGTAAACTAATGTCTTAGAGTATGTTCCCTGCAAAACAGTCATAATAGTCAATTATTTGACAATTTGGAATCTTTGGGAGTTCACATTCATGAATTTCTTTAGGAGCTTTGGCACAGTGGAGAGTAGCGCGAGTAGTAAGGAAGACCTAATCTGAATGTTTACTGGTGCAGCCTACAGTATTTTGGTATGGGAGAATATATCTTTAAGGTTCTAGTAGGGTGCTATCAAAGCCTGGTGGTAGAGATTTATCTACCCATACTTGCGATACCTTGGTATATTTAGTGCTTATATTTTCTAAAGTACAATAGTTTCAATATTCTTATGGATCATAGTTTGTGTAATACGTTTTTTTTTTTTTCAGCGAGGTAGTCTGGAGCTTTTCTACCGTTTGGCTACGGTTTGTTTTGTCATGAGCTCTTGCAATTGGAGCCCAAATTGCAGATTAATAATATTTGTAGGGCATTTACTCAAGAGCTCAAGAGAGGGATTGAAAGAACCAATGGTGCTTGGACAATCAGATTTAATGCAAAAAAAAAAATTATTTTTTAGCCAGAAAGTGTGAACAATTGGGCAGGTCCATCAAATGTGTACATGAAACCACAGATCTGTACATGAAACCACAGATCTGTACATTCTTGTAAACAAGAGTTTATTATTTATTACAGGTACTTATATAGCACCAACAATTTATGCAGCACTTTACATATCTTTTGTACATTCACATCAGTCTCTGTTCTCATGGAGATTACAATCTAAGGTCCCTAACTTACATTCATGTATACACATACTAGGGTCAATTTAGACAGGAGTCAATTAACCTACCAGCATGTCGTTGAAGTGTGGGAGGAAACCAGAATACCCAGAGGAAACCCACAAAAGCACAGGGAAAACATGCAAACTCCAGGTAGGTAGAGCCGTGGTTGGGATTTGAACCGTTGAACCCTAGCTCTGTTAGGTGGAAGTGCTAACCACTTAGCCACTGTGCTGCCTATAGTTATAAGAGTTATAAAAGTTAATTGGGACAAACTTGTTTATCCTGGTTGGTACAACATATCATCAAAATAAATTTTTCAGTGCAGAAGGGAGAATGACTTTTTAGCCCAAATTTGGTCACAGTCCTCTTCCTCAGGGATGACACTGAGGTCAGCTGTCCATTCATGGTTGTAGGAAGAGGAAGTGTTGGGTCTGTTTGGCATCTATCATTTTCAAATGGAGTGCTCAGCGTAGGCAGACTCCATGTATTCCTTGTGACCAGTTTCTTTAAGGTGTCAGTGAAATAAATATAGACAGCTTTGTAGGTGGTGTGGAATAACCCCCAAAGTAGTATAGCAAGATAACATCTCTAAAGGTCCGAGTATTTACTCTCCTGGGTACATCCACTCTCAAGGCTGGATCTTTGATGTACAGTGGGCTTATTAGATTGGTTGCCAATCACTTTCTAATTGTATTTCTGAATAAAATTTAGGAGCGAAGGTTAGAGATATGGGAAACCCAAAAAGATAGCAAAAAAGCTGAATTACCCAAGTAGCATTGTAAATCTCAAATTCCAAACCCCAATTTAGTGTATCTCGTGTTTTCCTTTCTTAGGCATAGTTGATGATATTTCACCCTTTAAGAGCAGCCAAACCCAGTGACTATGACTATGACTTTGTAAGAGAAGTTACAGTTTAGGTGCCAGACTGAATATAAATGAATTGGTTAGCTTAGGTCGGTGCTCATATTACACAGTGTTGGTAAATCTAAAGTTGATTGTATAAATATTGTATGGTCTGCACACACAAGCACCCTTCTGATGCCGCCACTGCTCATTGATTCATCTACAAAAACAACATACTCAGCAGTCTTGAAAGCTAACTTTTTTCTTCTCAGTCAACTAACACAGAGCAAAAGGCCCTCGTAAAACAGTCACATCACTTTAGATATCTTCATATTCTGGACACATACTGAAAGTTTAAATTAATAAGTGAAACTATTGTAGCTCTTTCTTATTAAAGTAACTTTATTTTCTAGGTTTACTGACCCTATAAATAGAGTGGTCCTATGTCTAGCAGAAAGTGGTGGGACTTACTTAAATCCCAGCTGTCGGCAAATAACTTCAGCATCTTTGTCATCCCACCGGTCATCACAGATTGTTCCCCACCGACTGTTAAAAAACACTTCAACACGGCCCTCAAAGTGGTCCTTTCCTCCCACCAATCGAAGGGGCGGCTTTAAACCTGCTCTTCAGAGAAGGAAAAATAAAAGCTTATGAGTGGGAAGGTTTCAGAGATTAGAATGCTGTTTTGGTCAAATGCATTTACATAGTCATATGATTATCTGCCAGTTGACATTGAATATAAACTAGCGTTAAAGAATTACCTTGAGGGGGAGAGCATGTAACTGCTGCTACCATCCTGTGTCTGCAGTCCTTGCCCTGGCTGTAGCTACAGTGTAGTAGGGCATATTCATCCCCTCGACAATTAGCAGACTTAAGATGTACAGGGTTATTCCATAATCCATAGTCTGAGATTTTTTTGCCTGTGCCAATTTCACTGATGCCAAAATAAAAGTGAATATGTACATTTAATACAAATAGAAAATACATAATTACAAAAAATTAGCAGCACATTTAACAGGAAAATACATAACTAAGCCTTTAGATAGAGCATTGAGCCTGAATAATAAACCTGGGAGCGTCCAGCTGAACATGTGATCAAAAAATGTATAAGCAGAGGTTAACTTCAGTGAAAACCAGGTTTTAGAGATATAGGCAGATGAAGTTATATGCAATTCATAACTTTTGCTCAGAAACTTTCACACCACTCTTGGATGCAACCCAAGACTAACTCATTAGTCAATAAGGCTACACATCACAATAAACGACCAATAAGTAGGAGAGCCCAACTCCATATTTTATATGAGGTCAAAGTACACGTTTGTACCTACTAACCGAAGGCAACCTTTACTTATGCATTTTTACTGTATGGACATTTTTAATTTCTAAGGTTTATGACAAGTTTTCTGTAAAGTCTAAATGAACTTTCAAATTAAATAACGTAAATCCATACAGGCTGCATCAAAACCAAAAGTATGCAAAATCTTACTGTTTTGCTTTGTTTATAAAGCAGCTCCATCTTCACCAAAACAGTCTGTACCCAGCAAGTAGTCTGCAGAGAGGGATCTCTCTGTCTGAGTAGGAGTTTTTTTCTTCAGAAGTCCAACACACCCTCTTGTCAGAAAAGTCAAACTCTCTTCTTGTTAGAGAGCTCTAGCTCTGACTCACATGTATTGGACATTTGCAGGGAGACCACTGCTTACCCGTAGAGTCTCTGCAGACCCAATGGGGGACAGGCTGTTTTTACGGGAGCTGGAGCTACTTTATAAAAATAAATAAATAAACAAACTTTAAGATTTTGCACATATATTTTTTAGACACCCTGAATGGGTGGTCTCAGTTGGAGATCAGTGGAAATGGTTTATTTCCTTAACAGATTTACAGCACTGAATCCATGTCAACATGTCCCTGAATGAGGCAAACAATTGCATCTGAAAGGGAATGTAAAGACTGGAATATCAGATTAATAATAATTATTATTATTATTATACAGTATTTATAAAGCGCCAATAGTTCGCTCAGCGCTGTACATTACAAAGGGGGACAGAACATGAGACAGAACAATACCAATACAATGCAAAACATGAGGGGATCGAGGGCCCTGCTCTTTCGAGCTTACAATCTAGAAGGGACGGGATAGTGGTACAGGAGGAGATAGCTGTGGGGGATGGAGTGGTAGGAAGAGTGGAGGAGGTCGTTCAAGTTAGCAGGGGGTAGGGTAGGCTTCCCTGAAGAGATGGGTTTTCAGGGTGCGCCTAAAGGAGAGGAGAGTAGGTGATAATCTGATGGGTTGGGGCAGGGAGTTCCAGAGGATGGGTGACACCCTGGAGAAGTCCTAGAGGCGGGCATGGGAGGAGGAGACCAGGGAACTAGAGAGAAGGAGGTCTTGTGAGGAGCGGAGTGTGCGTGCTGGGCGGTACTTGGATATTAGGTCAGTGATGTAGTATGGGGCAGTATGGTGGACAGCTTTGTACGTCAGTGTTAGGATTTTAAATTTGATCCGTTGCGCAATCGGAAGCCAGTGGAGGGATTGGCAGAGGGGGGTGGCGGAAACGGAGCGGTTGGAAAGGTGAATGAGTCTGGCGGTCGTATTCAGGATCGACTGAAGCGGGGATAGCCAGTGGCGAGGCAGGCCAGTGAGGAGGGAGTTGCAGTAGTCGAGTCGTGATACGATGAGGGAGTGGATGAGCTGTTTAGTGGTTCCTGGGGTTAGGAACGTGCGTATTTTGGCAATGTTGCGGAGGTGGAGTCTGCATGAGTTTGTTAAAGATTGGACTTGGGGCTGGAAGGATAGGTTGGAGTCCAGAATGACACCAAGTACTCTGGCCTGCGGGGCGGGTTTGATGGTGGCATTGTTGGACATGATGGAGCAGTCAATGGGGGGTGGTGTTTTGGCTGGGGGAAGACAAGAAACTCGGTCTTGGAGAGGTTCAGTTTAAGGAAGTGGAGCGACATCCAGTCAGATATGTCGCTCAGAAGGTGTGTGATTCGGGCGGAGACTGAGGTGGTGAGGTGGGGGGTTGAGAGATAGATTTGTGTGTCGTCGGCATAGAGGTGGTAGTTGAAGCCGTGAGAGTGTATGAGTTGGCCAAGGGAGGAGGTGTAGATGGAGAAGAGAAGGGGCCCAAGGACAGAGCCTTGAGGGACCCCAACAGAGAGGGGGAGTGAGAGGGAGGTGGTAGCATTATAGGTAACGCTGAAAGAGCGTTGTGACAGGTAGGACGAGAGCCAGGAGAGAGCAGAATCTCTGAGGCCGAGGGAGTGTAGTATTTTGAGGAGGAGGGGGTGGTCAACTGTGTCGAAGGCCGCAGAGAGGTCAAGGAGTAGGAGCACTGAATAGTGGCCATTAGCTTTGGCAGTTAGAAGGTCGTTGGAGAGTTTGAGTAAGGCGCTTTCGGTGGAGTGTAGGGGACGGAAGCCGGACTGTAGGGGATCGAGGAGGTGGTTGTCGTTGAGGTGAGAGCATAGGCGGGTGTAGACGAGGCGCTCGAGGAGTTTAGATGTAAATGGAAGCAGGGAGATGGGTCTGAGGTTGTTCGGGTCATTGGGGTCCAGGGAGGGCTTTTTAAGTATGGGATATGTTAAATTTTAACTGATTACAGAACTTCTAATGTATTGCTAAGGACTCACATTAACATTAATCTTGGTTCTTATACCATAGTATAGTGTATCTTGTGTCAGAAACTGCTCAGACTAACCTGATTCCAAGCTGTCTACACACCACACTTGCATCCCAATCGGTCCAGTGATCTGCACATATTGATCCCCAAACCCCATTTAGATACAGCTGTACTCCACCACTCTTGGTAAGATGATCACCCAACAGGCGAATGGCACCTAGTAGGAACAATTTATCTGTTTATAGTCTAAACATATTTTAAGCAAAAAGTACATTTTGTCAGATAAAGTGTTATGTCTGCTTAGGCTTGGCAGACTCAGATATCACACTTGTAAAACATCAAGGTTATTACAACAAAGAAGTCAAATGCTTAAAATTTACATCTGGTTTTCCTTTAGTTTATCTGCATTTGATTGTGAAATACCAACGTAAATGTCTGCTGTTTAAAAACATAATGAAAATTAAACAGATTGGTTAAAAAATAGTGCAAAAAAGTGGACAAAATCTAAAAAAAAGAAATTAACAATTTGAAGAATAATCTTTTTCAGCTTTCTTCCATTTCAAAGAATGGATCGTGCCAGAATTAGAGTGTTGTGCAATAAAGTATGTCTGAATTTAAACATTACCATGCAATATGTCCCATAAAAACGTGCAAATATCAATCATAGCCTTTCATATGCTGGTCTCTACATATATAGCTACAGTACTTCTCATCAGCTATCCTAGAATGTGTATATTTCAGATGTCTAGTACCATGGCTGCAGTCACAGTGTGCCCAGCTTATCATCCCTGAAGGTTGCCGATAAAAAACACCATGGTGTCCTTCCTCCTTCAGGGTTCCTGCAGTAGTTATGGTTCCCCAGTCCTCGACCAGGGTACTGCTGAATGTAATCAGGAAACTCGGACCAATTCAGACATTCTGCACCAGACTCTGTTACAGAAATTGTGCCATTGTAGTATCCCAGAGAAGCTACACCATCAGAGCAAAGGCTGTAACCTGCAGATAGCAAGAATGTTTTTTAGTTTTTTGTTTTTTTCAATCTATGAATACATTACATTTTACGGCATTCGATTTGTTAATTTATAAAACACAGAGAGTACCGGTAATAATAATGTCAAATGGCAAGAACAGGTAACAGTGGAGAAATTAAGTATTTAAATAATTATGGGGTCACTGGTCCCATTTAGCTACCAATATGCAGTGGTTGTGTCTGGGAAGGCTACACTAAAGCTACTATGTTTTGCAGCAAGATCCTTAGGAAAAGGAGTCAAGGCTTGGGGATAGGATGTTGAGAATGGAGAGAGGTTTGAAGGTATGAAGAGAGAGAGCTTTGGAGCTGCCATATACACTCACCGGCCACTTTATTAGGTGCACCTGTTCAAATGCTTGGTAGCACACATTGCTAATCATCCACTCACATGCTAGCAACGCAATGTATTTAGGCATGGTGAAGACAACTTTCTGAAGTTCAAACCAAGCATCAGGATGGGGAAGAAAGGGGATTTAAGTGACTTTGAACATGGCATGGATGTTGGTGCCAGATGGGCTGGTCTGAGTATGTAAAAAACTGCTGATCTACTGGGATTTTCACGCACAACCATCTCTAGGGTTTACAAAAATGGTCCAAAAAGAAAATATCCAGTTGTGTGGAAGCAAATGCCTTGTTGCCTTGCCTTGTTTACTGTCAGTGGGCAGAGGAGAATGAGCAGTTTCGAGATGATAGATGATAGAAAGGCAACAGTAACTTGTGACAATATGGACCAACATCTCTGAGAAATTTTTCCAACACCTTGTTGAATCTATGCCACAATGAATTAAGATGGTTCTAAAGGCAAAAGGGGATCCAACCCAGTACTAGCAAGGTGTACCTACAGTAATAAAGTGGCTGGTGAGTGTATATTAAGGCTCACATGAAGCCCTGTAAAGGAGGAGCAAGACATCCTCTTAGGGTTGCGTTACACACTCCTGGAGAGACCTGTGCAGAACAGTATGTTAGTAGAAAGGGTTTAGGTAATAAAGTGTGCCATGAATAGACATCAGAAGCCCAAGTGATGGTACCAAGATCCCTTTTTGAAGACAAGAGGCTTCCTATTCATCTGGTTTGTCACCTTAAGAGAAAAAGCAAGAGTTTCATAGAGTCATTTACAGTAAGGACTGTCTTGTAACTGTAAGTTACAGTATATACAGTAAAATATTGCCAAGGCCTTAATCTGTGGAATACTGTGGAAGGACTGTGGCAGAAACTGCAATCCTCATGAATTACATGTTGGTTTTTGGGTGGAGACATGTTGTATGCAGTCACTTTGCTGACAATAAATAAATACAGCAAGAGGAGCTAAGTTTGGAGTGTTGCCATATTTTTCTAATCTTACATCTTTTCAAATTTCTCCATGTTGAGGAAATGCTGCGAGTACAGAAAAATACCTGTTGCTCCTGCCAGAAAGTCCTCTGATCTCCTATCTTCCTGTAGTGAGCTGACAGTGCTGTGTCTGCTACACTGAAATCCCAGGTATTGTTGTCAGCACTGTATTTCAGCACAGCAGAGGGAGTGTTATATTCTTTAGCAAAAATTGTATCATTGTGTAGGTAAGTAAAGTAAAGAAGTCCTGTCATTGGAGAAACATGGAGGCTGCTGCCAGTGCTGTACTCTCCTGAAAATATTAGATCCCTAGCTGTTGTGTTGAATCAATGGGTTCAGAACTTTGTATGTTTCTGAATAGGCCAATAAATTAATATTAATGATTTCAACTTTCCTGATTTACGTGATTGTTCAGGTCAGTTTTTAAGTATTATTAAAGCCAAACAAAGCCAGACAACTATCATGTTCAAAAGAGAACCAGCGATGGTAATCTCCATATTTCTTCAATTTTCAAAATAACTGTCCCAGAACAAGAAAGCAGATAGGAACTTCTGACATTCCTCTACTGTATTCAGGTCTGTGCCTGAGGAAGTACTATGTCTACTAGGTCAACATAACAAGCAGACAGGTCAGCAATGGCAACCCTATATTTCTCTCATGACATGATTTGCCTCTTGCATGGTTTGTACTTAACTGCTGCCTTCAAGAGTGTCACATGCTGGAAGCATATTACTGACTCCATATGACAGAGATGATTCCTACCAATTGTGACTCCACTGAGTGCCTGAATGTGGAATGATCATGGAGCTTACGCAAGGCCTCCTCTCTTCACTTCTGATGGTTGGATGGAACGTGACAATAAGAGGAAATGAAAGGAATGTGAGCATGTACAGTCGGAGAGGGCAGGAGTTAAGTAAAAGGGTTTCTTTGCCTTGCATGGGCATAGCACAGGTTCACTTTAAAGTAGATCTATACCAAAATGTCCCCATTAAAATTCAAGCAGAAGTTCAAGAAAATAAAGCTTTCTTTTAAGTCATTGCTGGCTATAGCTGCACCCCCACGAAGCCTATAAATATGGGTTACAGCCAGCACTGTGCCCCTCCGCCTCTCCATTGTGCAGTACTGTCTCCACATCTCCTCTCTTAGTTTACACTGCAGCCTGCTATTCATTAGAGAGAGTTGAAACCATCAGCTTGTATGGTGAATGATTGCAACTGGAGATATGGGCTTTCTTCTTAATTATAATAATAAGTAATAGTTCTTCTTTAAGACCTTCCCTGACCACCCACCTAAACAAACGCTTGCAGCTGCTCAGGGTTGTACACCAGCCACATCCTCTATGCTTTGCTTCATGGCCATGGCAAAAAATTAATACCTCATCGCATTTGGCAAAGACACCAACACTGAATACAAACGATTAAAGTTAGGGAGGCCACACAGCAACTGGTGGTATGACCTCTTTTGGGCTAAAAGAGGCACTGAGTAAGCAACATATTGCCTCTCAGCTGCCTCTCATATTGCTCCAACATATTGCCTCTCAGCTGCCTCTCATATTGCCCCAACATATTGCCTCTCAGCTGCCTCTCATATTGCTCCAACATATTGCCTCTCAGCTGCCTCTCATATTGCCCCAACATATTGCCTCTCAGCTGCCTCTCATATTGCCCCAACATATTGCCTCTCAGCTGTCTCTCATATTGCCCCAACATATTGCCTCTCAAAAAGGCTGCCACATGTGAAAATGAGCCACATAGCCAGTTCCATGACAAGACCATCTAGCTCCCAGGGCAAAGATGCCAAACAGTGCCCCCCCCAAAAAAAAAATAGTTTATGAGCATTATGTGTCAGCAAAAATCCTCTACCTTCCCTCATAAAAATGTGAGCACTAATCTTCACACTTACCTCCGAAGCATAAATTTCCTTTGCAAGGCAAAATTCCCCCTCCCCAAAAAGAATCCTGCTTTTCCAGTACAATTCCCCCCTCCCAGCTAAAAACCTCTCCTTCCCCAAATCCCCCCTTTTAGCACAAAGGTTCTACTCCTCGAATTTCCCCACTGAGCATAAATCCTCCCCACCCTTCAAATCCCCCTCTCCCAGCACAAATCCCCCCCCCCCCTCTGGAATCTCCTCTCCTAGCACTAATCCTCCCCCCAAATTTCTCCTCCTAGCAAAACCCCCCCCAATCATCCATACTAGCACAAATCCCCCCCCCCCCCTCTGAAATCTCTTACCTAGAATCCTCCCCCCAAATTTCTCCTCCTAGCAAAAATTCCCCCCAATCATCCATACTAGCACAAATCCTCCCACCCCCAAATCCAACTTCCTAACAGAAACCCATTCTCCTAGTACAAATTCCCCCCCCCCCCCGCCCCGCAAAATCACCCTTCTAGCTCATCTCCCCAAAATCCCCAATCGTGCCCAGGGTGGCTGCCCCTCCTGCCCTCCCCCCTTGTCCTACCCCTGCATACAGGTAGCCTGGTGAGCCTAGTTTCTTGTAGGTAAGCAATAGGGATTGGTGATGGGCCTACAGCCTGTTGGTTCAAAATGAGTAGCAGCAGCACACTGATAAAGCCTTCTCTCTGCTCTCCCCACCCCTATGAAGGGAGAAAGACAGTACCGCAGAATGCAATAAAGCCTAATTGGCCCAGACGGCAGCCCTTCCCTCTCCCAGTCTGAGTTCTGCAGAGCAAGGCTTCACAGGGACACTAGTTATATGTAAAGAACATCATTAACAATTTTTATTGAATACTCAGCTGGGTTAAAGGGTGTTTCTTTTTGACCGGCTTGTAGTGCTCTGTGTAACACAGCTATTTCAATATTGTTAGATAAGGAGAGTTGTGAAATTGTAGCCTTACTAGTGACGCAGGGTTCAGTCAAGTCCTTACCTGTTTTTAGCAGGTGCTTCTGTGCTTGCAGGGAATTTACGATATCCTAGGAATTTGCAGACACAAAATAGAAGCTAGTAAGATAGAGTTACTATTTCTGCACATATTAACTTTGTGATATTGCAGCAATTTAGTTTACATGGGTCAGTGAGTGTCCTGCAAACCACAGATGACAATGATCTTGTTAAAGTGGAACTTTAAGGAAGAAATAAACATTTGGAAAACAGCCAATATTTTAATGCAGAAAAGACGGGGTTGATTTACTAAAACTGGAGAGTGCAAAATCTGGTGCAGCTGTGCATGGTAGCCAATCAGCTTCTAACTTTAGCTTGTGCAAGGAAAAACTGAAAGCTGATTGGTTTCTATGCAGAGCTGCACCAGATTTTGCACTCTCCATTTTTAGTAAATCAACCCCTATGACTCTCTTGCAATAAAGTCCCATTACCTTCCTGCAGCGCTTTACACCGAGCTGTACACTGAGCTGTGCTTAGCACATGTGCAGCTCAGTGTACAAATTTTGACAATGTCTGAATGAATGAACTCCTGTGCATGCCAAGAGCCATGATGCGATCATGGCTGAGCCAATGAAAATGTTTGTCAGTCCGGCCATCATGGCAACGCTAGAGAGAAAGCGAGTATAGTTCCTCTTTAAGATTATGTTATAATCTGACTGTACAATCTCCTTTAGATTTACTAAAACTATGTGTTATGATATCACTAAACAACCCAGATACATTTACAACCGATCATGCATGCCCTTGCAATACATAGTCAGTAAAGGAGGTTGTATGATTAGATTGTCTAAGTGTATGGTCAAATTTTAAGATGTTCTATCAGGGGGGAAACAAATTGCTGATAGAACATCTTTAAATTTTAAGCAGCACTATCAGGGAAAAAAAATGCTGATAGTGAACTTGCCAAATTTGGCAAGCAGTTCTATCAGGAAAAATTTTTTTTCCTGATAGAACATCTACAAATTTGGCAAGCAGCACTATCAGCATTTTTTTTTCCTGATAGAACATCTACAAATTTGGCAAGCAGCACTATCAGCATTTTTTTTTCCTGATAGAACTTCTACAAATTTGGCAAGCAGCACTATCAGCATTTTTTTTTCCTGATAGAACATCTTCAAATTTGGCAAGCAGCACTATCAGGGGAAAAATTGCTGATAGTGCTGCTTGCCTGCTCCTGTGCATTCCTAATGGCCAATGAGGCAACACATTATAGAGATAGGCCAATAGGAATGAGTAGGAGGTGGGAACCAGCGGCAAGTTCTGATACTAGCTGTCGGATTTTGGAGGCTGCTGCACATATGAGCAGTTACTTCTAGTCTTATGAACAATACACCATCAGTGTTTCTTTTTTTTCTCTAGCAATTTCTATAACCACTTTCAGACCAAGTGTTTTCTGGCACTTTTTGTTTACATGTAGCAATCAGTATTTTTTTTGCTAGAAAATTAGTAAGAACCCCCAAACGTTATAATTTTTTTTTTTTGCAGAGGCAGGGAATACATTGGTTGATTTTGCATTTGTTTATGTCACACAGTATTTGCGCAGTGGTTTTTAAAATGCAATTTTTTTGGAAAAAAATACACTTTTTGAATTTTAATGCAAAAAAACACATTACATAACCCAATGTTTTTTGTAAAGTATAGACAATAAATGTTACACTGAGTAAATAGATTCTAAACATATCACACTTTAAAATTGTGCACATCTGTGCAATGGCAAAGGGTGAAAATGTTACTATTCATTGGCTTTAACCTCCCTAGAGGTCTGATTATGTCCATTTTTCTGTGCTCAAAACGGTACATTTTTTTGCATGGAAATATGTATTTTTTTTATTGTAGGCCTGTAATTTTTAGGAATAACTCACTGAAATCTGCCCGAACAAGAGTCTAGTAAACATCACGGGTATGATAAAATTTGAAACACAAAATCATAAATTATAATTTAATAAATAATCATAAAAAATAATAATAATAATACATTTAATTCAATAATGTAATCAAACCAAAAACACTGAAATTTTAAATATAGCGCCAAGTTCGCACATCACTGAGCAAAGTCGCAAAATCGTTTTCAGTGTCTGATGACAAATTTCCCCACAAATCATTATCACTCAATTCTGCAAGTAGTTCTAATTTACTATCGCTGTTCTCTAGCTGGTCTAAAACCGCTTTTGACCTAAAAGGGATGCTTTTTGGTTGCCATGGACGTTTTTCAGTTTCCAGGCAGAAAGAACAGTACAAAGCACTAGGGACAAAATGTATGTGAAATGGTTTGATACAGTAATTTTATACTATGTGATTTTAGTGTATTTAGTGAATGTCACTTTTTGTCATTTTCAAATTTCCCGCCAGTTCCGTCCCCCATACGTCCCGACGTCACAGGGGGCGGAACCCAGAAGACAGATATCGGCATCCACCGGAGGACATTGCAGGGGACACTGCAGGAGGGACATCGCGGGAGCGCAGGACAAGGTAAGAGAAGAACAGATCCCTGAGCAGCACCGCATGGTAAGCCCGAGTGTAGCTCGGGGTTACTGCTTTTGGTACTGAAACTTTACCCTGAGCTACACTCGGGAATACTGCCAGGGAGGTTAAAAGCCTTTACATGTTAACACTTTAGATTTAAAGAGGAGGTCTAGTGCTAGAATTACTGCCCATGATCCAATGTTTGCGGTGATACCTCAAATGTGTAGGACGATCGCTGTTTGCATGTGTGCGGGACCGACGCGTGTGTTCACCTTTGCATATGAGCATGGGGGGACAGGGCACTTTAATTCTTTTTTTTTACACTGGTTTTTTTCAATTTTGTTTCTTTTGATCACTTTTTTGATGTTACAAGGAATGTAAAGATCCTTGTGACAGCAATAGGCATGCGACAGGTACTCTTTATGAAGGGATCTAGGGTCAATGAGACCCCAAATCCCTCCTCTGCCCTTAAAAGCATTCAAAACACCAAGATCAATGTTTTCGAAATGCTTCTGATTTTTTAAAAAAGGCGCTGTGGACATCCGGGTAAACTGGAAGTGATGTCAGATCATTGCTGTTGGGTTGCCATAGCAGAGAGCCAATCAAAGTCAATCCCAGCTTTGTTCGGCTTTCTCAACAGTCGGCGGAAGCGCCAGCTGGTCGCTCGGGTCTCCTTGTGGGACAGGAGAGCTTGAGAAAGCCGGAAGGTGGCAGGGGGGAGGCGGAAGGACACATCCCCTCCCGTTGTTTGTAATAGCAATCGAGCAGCTAGTTAGCCACTCTGATTGCTATTATAAGAGGACTGTTGGCTCTATAAACCTGTACCAAGGTGATGCATGCCGCTGTGGGCATCATCCTGGTACAACCATTCAAAGTCTAGCGACATATGGGTACTGCGCTGGAACATTGATTAGTGAAGAATGGAAGTTGTCATTTGCTGAGCTGAAATCTCCTACTGAAAATGCTAATTGCCTGGCTGGGTTAAATCACTCAGTTAAACAGCTTCTGAGTCACTTCTCTAGAAATAGTTTTCAGATTAGGAGTTCTGGCTTCCTGATCAAGCTTGTCCCAGATGAGTGACTTGACAGGCAATTGTGTCATAGAAAGCCAGGCAGCAAACATATTCAAAAGGAACTCAAGAAGGCAGCCTTTGTATTCCAGTGCAGGTTTCCTTTAACACATACAGCTTGCAGTAGCTAATGGAACCTAAAAGTACATTACCACAATCAAATCCATGTCATTTGTGGCTACAAAAATAAAATGCATTCAATATTCAGCTTAAAGATCCTGTAACCACAGCCTGCCCTGGTGTAAAGTAATATGGGCTGAAAACACATTAGACTTCATGCACACTGGGTATATGGCCAGCTCTTCTGAATGCCTTTAAGTACTCCCCTACACTCCAGTGGTGGATTGGGCTGCAAGGGAGTATTTTTACTTTCCCTGGAGTTAGCTTTAAAAGGGAGCCTGAAGGCACCATTGCTGACTTCCTCTTCTGCAAATGCTGGTTGCCTGGCTGTCTTGCTTTGATAGATACTTTGGCCAACTAATATACAGACAAGTACTTCCCTCAGACTTTGGTGGCATGCTTGTTCTGACTCAGTGGAGTTGTATTACTAAATGCAAATAGGATGTTCACTTTGCAAGGGAAGTTTCAGTTTGCAGGGGAATTTTCCCCAGAGAGTTTAGAGTATGTGGTAAAATTTCACTTTGCAAAGAATACCCAATCAGTTGCAAGGAAAAAAAAAAACAGCACTTTTGTTGCACACAATTAGATGGTGGAAGTCAGGAGTGCTTTCCCTCGTTCTCTAAGCTCAGGAGAACATACCTTTGCAAAGTGCAACTTTTATTCCAATATGAACAGTCCACTTACCTTTATTAAATCAACCCAACCAGCCGAATGTATTGAAGTCAATAGGCCGTCATAGTTGGGCAACTAGCATTTCAAGCAGGTCAGCAAAGGCAGTCTCCATATTTCTGTCCAGGAAGGTTTACTATAAGTAACAAAGCTTTGCAGACCATTGCAAAATGGTCTCAGCCAACTGCCCAGGGCTACAGGCACAAGAGTTGAAAATACACAGAAACAGGGCCGGATCTAGCCTGTCTGATGTGGGGGTGCATTAAAAAATGTCAGGGGGGCAAAGGATTGGAGGTCGGCAGGGCAGAGGACAAGTGCCACTGCTGGTAGGGCAGAAGTCACTGCTGACAGGGCAGAGGACAGAGGCACAGCTCCTTCTCCCTCCCTGCACACAGCCCGGGCACAGGCAGCATAGCTCCACCTCCCCACGTAATGCATAACTGAAATCAGTATAGTGTCAATCAATGACAATATAGTGTCAGGCTAGGCCAGTATAATGTCAAACTAGGGCAATAAAGTATCAGATTAGGGTGGTATTGTGTCAAATTAAGGCAGCATAGTGGGGGGTTTGGATAGTATAGTTGCAGGTTAGGGTAGTATAGTTAGGGTAGTATAGTGGCAGGTTAGGACAGCATAGTGGTAGGTTAGGGTATAGTTAGTTAGTAGAATAGTTACAGGTTAGGGTAGTATATTTAGGGTAGTATAGTGGTG